TTATTTACTATAGCACCAAAAACCATAAGATGCTTTGGAATAAACCTAACCAAAGAGGTAAAGGATCTATACTAGAGGAACTACAGAACACTCATGAAAGAAATAGAAGAAGACACAAAAAGATGGAAAAACATTCCAAGCACATGGGTTGGAAGAATAAACATTGTTATCATTGTGGTTTTGATTTGTATTTCATTGATAATTAATGACATTGAGAATATCTGTTAGCTATTTGTATGTCTTTGGTGGATAAATACCTGTTCAAGTCCTTTGCCCATTTTTTAATAAAGTTGTCTTTCCCTAGAGTATTATGAGTTCTTTGATATATTTTGGATATTAAGCTCTTATCAGATATATGTTTTGCAAATATTTTCTCCCATTCTGTACATTGCATTTTTACTCTGTTGATTGTGTCCTTTGCTGTCCAGAAGCTTTTAAATTGGATCCAATCTTATTTATCTGTGTATCTTATAAGGGATTAATATCATTAAGAAGATAAGAGATAATGAGTGTTGGAGAGGATGTAATAGGAAAGGAGTGAACCCTTCTGCTTTGTTGGTGTGAATTTAAATTGGCCAGCCACTATGGAAAAGACTATGGGAAGTTCCTTATAAAATTAAAGATAGAACTATCATATGATCTAGCAATTCCATTCTTAAGTGTATATATCCAAAAGAAATGAAAACAGAATATCAAAGAGATATTTGCACTTCCATGTTTATTGCAGCATTGCTCACACTAGCCAAGGTGTGGAAACAACTAAGTGTCAACAAATAAATGCATAAAGAAAATGGGACATATATATCTCACATAAACACAATGGAATATTCTGCTATAAGAGAGAAGGAAATCCTGCCAGGTTTGAAAACGTAGATGGACGTTGAGGCCTTTGTTCTAAGTGAAATAAGTCAGGCAGAAAAAGATAAATACTGTATCATATCACTTATATGTGGAAACTAAAAAAGCCAAACTAGCAGAAACAGACTTGAATGATGGTTACCAGGGTGTGGGGGTGGAGGTTGGGAAATAGGAAGCTACTGGCCAAAGAGTATGCTTTTGCGATTCGATGAATGGGGGCACCTGTGTTGCTCATTTGGTTAAGTGTCTTTATCTCAGGTCAGGTCTTGATCTCGGGGTTGTGAGTTCAAGCCCTGCTTTGGGTTCCATGCTGGGTGTGGAGCTTAAAAAAGAAAGAAAAGAAAAAAGAAGATGAGTTTTAGGGATCTAATACACAGTGAAGTGATTATAGTTTACTATTTTTTTATGTACTTGAAAGTTGTTAGGAGAGTAGATCTTAAATGTTCTTATTGCTAAAATGAAATGAGAGTTTTGTGACATAATGGTTTCAGCTAACACTGCAGTGGTAATCACATTGTAATAGATGAGTGTATCCAATCAATATGTGTAGTCCTTCAACTTATATGTTGTTAAGAGTCAATTATATCTTAATAAATCCGGGGGGGCAGTAATAGGAGAGTCCTTGGTAGAAATTCTAGTAAATAATTATTTATTCATAATAAATTCATAATAAAAAGGGTTCCATTACCTAGAATAATACCTGGAGCCACTTAAACCTACCTTGTCTATTTTGGGGAGAGGAAGTGGGTAGTGGGATATTTAGGCTGAGATAACAAGAAATGACAGAAGGTTTGAGAGTAAGATTTTAGCCCTAAACTTCCAAATTCTGGATAGCTGATCTATTGATCTTGTAACAATTTATGCATCCTCTGACTCTGAGATTTGATGGTAGCTTCTTGCTGTGCTGAGCTTGTTTTATGAGGCACTTGATAATGTGTTGAAGAGAGGTTTGCTGAGCTGTTTGTCCTTGCCTATTTTTCCCTACCACGAGCAAGTCAGTGTGGAGATATCATTGGTACTCTAGTATCCATTGAAGGAATTTGAATTTATAGCACTGTTTTTAAGAAAAAAACTATTTTAAACTCCAAGCAACTAAGGTATAAGCAAAGCCCTCGAAAACTATATTCAGGTAAATTGATTATTACTTCAAAGTATTACCATCTTCGGCTGTTTAAAACAAACATCTCCTTGGGATTCTTGAGTAAATTACTCATTGTTTCTGTACTTGAAAAATTTTTGAACTGTACAGTGAACCCCTAACTTCATTACTACTGAATGTTAAATCGCATGGGACTTTTCTCTCCAAAGGCCCAAACAAAAGAATTCCTGGGCCCAGTCATAATAATGACTGTGAAAGCAGTCTTCTAAAATAAAAGAAATGGTAATACTGTAATTAGCAGTAGAGCTTTGCAACCTTCAATTTAATAAAATGTAACCCAAATAAAATCTTGGGTACTTGGAATCATAGAGCATATTGCCTTTCCACCCTGGCTTCTTTCATTTAGCAATATGCATGTCTTTTCACGACTTTGGATAGCTCATTTTTTTATACTGCTGAATAATATTTCATTGTACGGATATACCACAATTTGTTTACCCATTCACCTCTTGAAGGACATCATGGTTGCTTCTAGTCTTCGGTGATTCTATAAACATTTGTTTGCAGGTTTTGCATGCATGTAAGATTTTAACTCAAGTGGGTAAATACCCAGGAGTGTGATTGGTGGATTGTATTGTAAGGCTACGTTTAATTTTATAAAAAATTGCCAATTTTATCAGGTTTTTGGATTTCAACCATTGTAGTAGGTATGTAGAAGATTGTCCTTGTTGCTTTAATATACAATTGCCTAATGGAATATTACATTTACCAGCTTTACATGTGGTTATTTGCTGTCTGTATATATTCTTTGGGTAAGGTATTTGTTCAGACCTTTTGCCCATTTCTAAAAATTTTTCTATTTATTTTTTTTAAAAGATTTTTATTTATTTATTTATTTGACAGACAGAGACCACAAGTAGGCAGAGAGGCAGGCAGAGAGAGAGGAAGGGAAGCAGGCTCCCCGCTGGGCTCGATCCCAGGACCCTGGGACAATGACCTGAGCCAAAAGCAGAAGCCTCAACCCACTGAACCACCCAGGCGGCCCCTTTTGCCCATTTTTAAATTGGGCTATTTTCTGATTTCTGAGTTTTAAGGATTCGTGGTATATTTTGCATACCAGACCTTTATCAGATATGAGCTTTGCAAAGATTTTCTCACGGTTTCTTCCTTGTCTTTTAATTTTCTTAATAGCGTCTTTTACAGAACTGAGGTTTTTAATTTTAAGAATGTCCAATTTACTAATTTTTCTCATGGGTCACGCTTCTGATTTTATATCTAAAAACTCATTATCAAATAAGTTCATCTAGGTTTTCTCCTTATGTTATCTTTTAGAAGTTTTATAGTTGGTGTTTTAAATTTAGGTCTAAGATCCATTTTGAGTTAATTTTTTTTGGAAAGGTGTAAGGTCTAGGTCTAGGTTCATCTTTTGTGGATGGATGTCCAAGTCTTCCCATTTCTTGGAAAGACTGTCATTTCTCCATTTAATTACCTTTGCTCCTTTGTCAAAAATTTAGTTGCTTGTAATTGTGTGGATCTTTTTCTGGGCTTTCTGTTTTAGTGCATTGTTTAATTTGTCTATTATTTTTCCAATACTGTGTTGTCTTGATTACTGCAGTTTTGGGGAAGTCTTAAAGTCAGCTAGTATCCACCTTTTTTAGAATTTTCTTTTTGTCTTTGGTTTTGAGCAGTTTTTACCATGATATGCCTAAGTGTGGTCAAGTTTTTGTTTGTTTTTTAATTTATCCCTTCTTGGGGATTTGTAATATTTTATGAATTAGTGTTTGATTTCTTCTACAAATGTTGGGAACTTCTCAGATACAATCTCTTTAAATATAGCTTTTATTTCATTCCTTCATCCCATCCTGAGATATACAGTAAAATATATTAGATCTTTACACTATATGTTCTGTATCTATTATGTTCTTTCATATATTTTTCATTTCTGTCATTTTATACTTTTTTCTAAATGTTTTCTTCTACCTTCCAATTTATCACTTCTTTGTTTGATTCTGTTCAATTTGTTTTTAAATCCATCTCTGACTTCTTAATAGTGATTATTGTAATATTTAGTTACACATTACACTTTCTATTATGGCTTCCAATATTCTCCGGGAATTTTCAGTATTATCTGTTATTTCTTTGCACATATCAAAGGGATAGTCTATGTCTGATGATGCCAAACATGTTTCTGAGTAGTTTTCAAGAAAAGAGCTGTTTTTGCATTTTTAAAGTGTTGTTTAAAAAAATAGAAGAAGAATATACAACAGAGACTGTATATGGCCCACAGAGTATAACACATTTACTATCTGACTTTTTACATAAAATATCTACGGACCCATGAAGTAGATTCTTTATGGATCTGTTTCTTTTGTCATAGTGATGATGTCTTATCTCCTCTATCTGGTTAGTTTTGATGTGGTATTGGATATTGTACATGAACAATTACAGAGTTAATTTGGGACTATGTTGATATTAACTTCTTCCAGAGAAGATTGAAAGTTGCTTCTGGTAGGCAAATAAAGGCACTAGCAATCTTGAATCATCACATGCAGTGAGAGAATAAGCTAATTCATAGGAGGGCTTTAGTCTGTCTGAAGGCTGTTTAATTTCTCGTTCTCCCTGGCTCGTACAACAGCCCAAACCAAAGCTTGGGACTTAGCTGAGATCACATTCTTGGTGTGTCCTGAGTACTGAGTCCATTGAAATCTCTCAACTGCCTCTGTTAGACTCTGCTTCTGTGGGAATTGGCAGATACTTCTGGGATAAAAGCAACTTAAAATATCATGCTCATCACTGTATATTTTCATCTCTTCTCTGGTTTTAACTTCCTAATTCTTTTTTGCTTTGTTAGTAATCTGTGGATTTCATACAGGTTTTGAAATATTTTTTCCCTAGCTTTCCTAGTTCTTAATGATAAGGTTGGTTCAAATTATTTTGACTATGATTATTGGAAATAAATGCAACTCTTATATTTACTTATGAACAGTGAAGTGTTTGTTTTTTACTTTTTTTTCATGTTGCTTTTTTAATATTTTTATTTCAGATAGCTTCATTATTTCCCATGTATGTTGTGGGATACATTGAGCCAAACAAATTTCAGAAGATCATTTATATGAACATGGTAACATTTTTAATATTCAAATGTCAAATATTAAAATAAGATTTCAGGATTTATAAAACATTACTGTTTTATGGGGTACCTCTTTGCAAGTAGTATTTAATTAATATACATGGTATTGATATTATCCAGAAGGATAGATTACATTATTATATATCTATACCTATCATATTCAGATCTATAACATTCAGATGTTTTATGTTCTGGTGAAACTTTTTAAAATGTTAATGTTTTATTTATTATTGTCACTACATTTGAAATTGCTTTTTCTCCCCAAGACCTGAGACTTTTGGCACTTTGCATTAATATGACACTGTAAATTTTGTTTTTGCACTTTTTAAAATCTCAGTTTCTAAACACATACATATATTTTAGATAAGAAAATAAAACAAAGCTTTGATAGTGATAGAAATCCTCAAGTAGTCCAACAAAAATAATATCAGAAAATTAATACTTATGACTAAGTCTTTCTTATTATATCACTCCATTATTGAATCAATAGAAGCACTAGTGCTTTTTTTCTGTTTTCTTTATATCAAGTATCAGAGAAATAAGATTAAATTCTGTATATAATTTATGGTATTGAAAAACTTAGAACCTATCCATGTATTGAAATTCTATTATCATTTGGCTGGGATCTATCTGTTTGTTAATCTTACTTATGCATATCAAATTTGTATTAGAAATGACTATGTCTGTAGACGAAGTATGCATTATGCTATATATCTAATAACAATAAAACAGATATTTCCTTTCTTCAATTGGCAGGTTTCAGTTCTCCTTTGTTTTGTATTGATGTTTGGAAATCCAATGTATTTATCTTCTTATTATTCTTCATCTTTGTTAATGACATTGGTAAGTGTTTGCTAAGCTCATGAAGATTTTTTTTTTAACTGTCATATAGTAGGTTTACTCATGTAATGTAAGTTTAGGAGAATAAATAGTCCCCTTCCCTGATTATTATTTACTCACATGAAAAACTTTTTCTCAAATAATGCTTTTTCTCTCTTTCTTGAAAAATGAATACAATATTAAGTTTATCTCTTTAAAGTAATGTCCAGGTAAATATTTTTTAAAAATCTTAAGGTAAAAAGACTTACTTTAAAACTATGCCATAATTTATAATAAAAATTAGTATTTCCTTCTACATCACTTCAGTACACTATATAGTTACTGCAATGACGTTTACCATTTCCCAAAACATTTTTGGAACTCCTCTGAAATGCTTTCACAGACTATGGCACATCCTTTTGAATATCTTCATTGGCGGCAAATCTTCATCTTTCAAGGGTGGATTTAATTTTGGAAATGACCAAAACCTTGTGAACAAGGTAGGTGATTAGATCTTGGGTAATCTAGATCTTGATCAGAATATGGTGTTGACAGTAACTAGACTGATTTTCTTGACCATAACTAAATTCTCTCTGAAGGCAGTTTGGAAAAAGGAGTTTCAAACTGTTTTGAGCAATGGCAACGTGATTAGAATAATATATATATATAGTCTAACAATATTTTATATATAGTCTATAAAGTAATTCATGTGGCTTACTTCCATGGGATAACACTCATATGAATATGTATTTGGAATGGTGGTTCAGTAAAATTGTTTCATTGCTTTATAGTCACACTTCTAATATTCATGAAACAGAACATGGAGTGTTTTCCTCCACTAGAATGTTTCTGACATATTCTCTTTCCACCATGATCAGAAATTATATGAACCTCAGTAATACCAAAATACGGCAATTTTCATATATGGCGCATTGACTGACTCTTGAGATCGTCCCTATATTTTGACATTTTGCTCCCCAAGCCTTTTTTTTTCTTTGGCCTCATACCAAGTAATCCCTCCTTTTTCTTTTTCCTCAAAAACATTTTCAACATTTTATCAAGCTTTGTTATCCTTACAAAGTAGAGAACTTGGAATCATCTACCTCTTTTTATGAAAACACTTAATTTTGAAATGTAGCACACATCTAGGAAACTACATGAAACAAAAGATTTGTATACTTAGTACTATTACTAATAACTACTGATAAATCAACTGTTATTTGACAAACGTGCCACCAAGCTATATGAAATAAGAGAGAAAGACAAATACTGTCTTTCCATTTGTGTCTTTAGTTTCTTTCAGCAATGTTTTGTAGTTTAGTGTATTAAGTCTTTCACACCTTTAGCTAAGTTTATTCTTAATATTTTATTCTTTTTCAAGCTATTGTAAGTGGGAGTGTTTTTTTAATTTCCTTTTCACAGTGCTGTTAGTGTGTAGAAATGCAACATATTTTTGTATGTTGATTTTGTATCCCGCTACTTTTTAAAAGTTAATTCTAACTGTGTGTGTATGATATTTAGTGTTTTCTTAATAGATCACATCATCTTCAGAGAGAGATAATTTTACATCTTCCTTTACAATTTTTATGCCTTTTATTTCTTTTTCTTGCTTTATTGCTGTTGCTAGGACTTCCAGTACTATACTGAATAAAAATCATTAAAGTTGGCATCCTTGCCTTTTTCCTCATCTTAGAGTAAAAGCTTACAGTTCTTTACCATTTAGTATGATGTTAGCTGTGGGATTTTCAAATATGACTCTTGTTATGTTAAGGTAATTTCCCTCTATTCCTAGTTTGTTGAGAGTTTTTATCGTGATAGGATGTTGAATTTCATCAAATGTTTTCCTGCATCTATTGAGATGATCTTGTGATTTTAATCCCTCATTCTGGGGACACCTGGGTGGCTCAGTGGGTTAAAGCCTCTGCCTTCGGCTCAGGTCATGGTCCCAGGGACCTGGGATCGAGCCCCGCATCGGGCTCTCTGCTCAGCAGGGAGCCTGCTTCTCTTCCTCTCTCTCTCTGCCTGCCTCTCTGCCTACTTGTGATCTCTGTCTGTCAAAGAAATAAACAAAATCTTTAAAAAAAAAAATCCCTCATTCTGGTATTGTAGCATGTTAGGTTAATTGATTTGCATATGTTGAACCATCCTACTTGCAAGATAAATCTCACTTAATCATGGTGTATGATCCTTTTAATGTGTGCTGTTAAATATGGTTTGCTTGTATTTTGTTAATAATTTTTGCATTTATGTTCATCAGGGATATTAGTCTGTAGGTTAATTTTCTTGTAGTGTCCTTGTCTGGCTTTGGTATCAGGGTCATGCTGACCTCATGAAACATGTTTGGAAATGTTCTCTCCTACTAAGTTTTTTGGAACAGTTCAAGAAGGGTTGACACCAATTTTCCCTTAAATGTCTGGTAGAGTTCACAAGCAAAGCCATCTGGTCTTGGTCTTCTCTTTGTTGGGAGTTTTTTGTTTTGTTTTTGTTTTTATTCAATCACCTTACTAGTTATAGGTGCTCAGAGTTTCTGTTTCTTTATGATTCTGTCTTGGTAGATTGTATACTTCTAGGAATGTATCTCTTCTATGTAATCCAATTTGTTAGCATCTAGTAGTCTTTTATAATCTATTTTGTTTAGGTTTAGTTATTTCAGATGGGAGAGTATGTGTAATTCTTGTTATATCAACTTGATCAGAAGCAGAAATTCCATCTTGATTGATTTTAATAATTTATTTTTGGGGTAAAATATTACATTTATAAGAATAAGAGATATACAAAAAGCTATATTCAGAAAATGTCACTCCCTCCCATTTCTTCTTACCCTTCTCTCCACCTCTCTTTTCACCTTGGTTGTACCTTTCTTGTAAGATATCTCATTGGTTTTCTGGTTTGCCCATTTAGTTGTTTTTTTTCTTTTTTTGCACTAATAAATATTACATATTTTTAAAATTATATCTCCTCTTATTTACATGAAAAGTAGCATACTATATTCTGCACTTTGGCTTATCAGCCTGTTTTGGATATCATGTAACAATCTATCCTGGATATCATTCTATAAAATTTCACAGAGCTCTTCTGCATTCCTTTTATAGTTTCATAGTACTGCACTGTGGATGTTCCATAGATAATTCAACTACTCTTTGATATTTGGGCATGTAGGTTGTGTCTACATTTTGTATTTACAGTGTTACAGTGTATAATCTGGTACATTTATATTTTCCTGTTGTTGGAAGTTCAGGAATCCTGGCTCACCTTGAACTAACTAGATGATGCAAAATTCCACTCAAAATCTATGTAATACACAGGCCTAAGATTTCAGTTTCTTATAGGAAGCTTTTTTTTTTTTCCTTCCCAAACTTGAGAATAAACAACTACTGTATCACCTTGTAGCAATGGTAGGAGGAATACTCCTACTAATTGAGTGTCTGTCAGTTTGGGCTGCTGTAGTAAAAATAGTACAGACTGGATAACTTACACAGAAATTTATTTTTCATATTTTTCATGGAAGTCCATGATCAGGGTGCCAGTCAATTTGGTTCTTGGTGAGGGCCCTTTTCTTGATTTGCAGACAGATACCTTCACCATATCCTTACATAGTGGAGAGACATCTCTCCCATATTTCTTCTTATAATAGCACTAGTCCCCTTCATGAGGGCTCCACCCACATGGTCCAATTACCTCCCAAAGGTTTCACCTTCCCATATGTCACATTGAGGATTAGAATTTCAACACTTATGTTTGGTGTAGAACTTAAACATTTAGTGATAGCACCTCAGATGGACTGAGGGTATAGTTTTTGAGGGCCCCAGCTTATGCCTGTCTTAAGTCCACATTCTTACCTTCCATAGTCCCAAGCCCTTTTCTACTTTTGGTGCAAGTCCATAGTGAAAACTTTATTCTGCTGTCCTCCTTTAAGACTACCCTATATTCTCTCCTAATTGTTTCAGTTTTTTAAAGTCATCTGCTTTTCTCTGGCACCTGGAAAATTTGTTTTCTTTCTTACACATTCACTTAGGCATATTTTAAGCATTTTAAAATATTTTATTTAGGAATTCAAAGAGGAAGGGTTTTTATGTTAACTTAGACCACTAATTTTGCTGAGTGACGTACATATACCCTTGCATGGACACACCTCCCACATACCATCTATACCCTGAGAGGATTGGCTTGCACAAGACATCTCAAGTAACTCAGTGAGGAATTAACTTGACCCTAAAAGCAACTTTTTGGCACACAAAGCATTTAGCTCTCACTACAAGGAAATTTTCCAGGTCCAAATTTTGAAAAATCAACAATTAAGAAGGAAAATGGGTGGTGATAGCCAAGATGGAAGTGGGTCACTGTATACTTTTTGAAATGTATTGTTCATATAAAATGTCAATTTAATTTAATTGTTTCATTTTATATCATGTGCATTTTAGGTGATAATTCTAAAGAGAAATAAAATTCAAAGATTGGGAGTGTCTGAACTCAACTTTTGGGTAAGAGTCAATAGTTTCAACCATTTCTTCAAACTCTGTATTTCTATAGACTGAATATAGACAATATACCTTAAAATTGAATGACTTATGGTCAATACTTACTCACATAGGGAGAGAAATAGCTCATAGCAACATCTACAAGTCATTATCAAGAAATGAGTTCATTTATTTCAGCACTATGCTCACACCTCTCTTTACTTTCATCTTGCTATACCCTTACTGCCTTGCTTTCTAAATTTTGAGTTTCTCTCTTTAGATTTACTAACCTTCTCTTCAAAATAACTCAGTCTGTAGTCCTGAACCCACTTTCCCTTTTCTTTTTCCTCTGCATCTGTCATCTGTCTGTTCTTCTGCTTCCTACTTTAGACTATTATTTTTGTCCCTATACCATTTTCCCTACAGTCTCCCAGCCCCTTCTTATTTCAACTCAGCTACTACCTAATCTCTTTGACTTCTTCCTAAATATGCAAATGGATGGCCCATGTTACCTCTATATTTGTGTGTCTTGTTCCCAAATAAATATATTATCAGGTAGGCATTGCAATTACTAATTCTTGTAATATTGGACAGATGACATTCCTTTTTTTCTCTTGATCTTTAATGTAGATGTAAATGTATTAAAAAATAAAACCTATATTAAAGATTTATGTGATTACATATGATATATTAATAAGGTAAAACTGGAGAAGTTATGGTAAGATCAGGTAGATTCCTAATCAGAATGCAAAAGAACAAAATGGACAGTTGCCAGTTACTGCTGGAGGCTTTCTCCCATCCCTAATGATGAAAATATAGGGATATTTGTGCAGTTGAATTATTAGATGATTTTTACTTCAGAAAAATTAATGATTTTAAAAGATTAAACCAGGAAATCAATGGAACATTCAAAGATCTCATTTAATAACTGAACTCAAAAGAAAATAAAAATTTCCATTACAAACTATTGAAAAATGACAACAAATAGAACAGTGTACAAAGACATTTAGGGAATTGTGTCAAAGCTGTACTAAGAAGAAAATTTGTTGTCTTAAGTATTTACAGTTTAGACTGGAAAGAGTAAAAAAATTATGCTTTCAACTCAAGAATTTCTTAGGAACAAAAATCTAAGGAGAAAAAAGTTGAGATATAATTAATGTTCAGTTTACCTTTATATTTTGAAGTCGACATAATTGATATTGTCAGTCTTTTGCAAAAGGAAGAAACAAGGGGCACCTAAGTGGCTCAGTGGCTTGAGCCTCCACCTTCGGCTTGGGTCATGGTCTCAGGGTCCTGGGATCGAGCCCCGCATCGGGCTCTCTGCTCAGCGGGGAGCCTGCTTCCCCCTCGCTCTCGCCGCCTGCCTCTCTGCCTACTTGTGATCCCTCTGTCTGTCAAATAAATAAATAAAATCTTAAAAAAAAAAGAAATCACCTCAGTCATCTAGACAATACAAAGGATATTGTGGCTTTTTATGCCTTTTTTTTTTTTTTTTCATAAAAGACAGGTAAAGCAAAGAAGTTTTGTGAACTGACACTTTTATTTGCAACCTCCTCCCTCAAATCTTTGTTAGTCCCAAGTAATTCTTTCATGCCTGTGGAATAAAAATTATACTGTATATCTTACTCTGTATGGTATTTAGAAACCAAAGATCTGAGTGCTGAGTATCCTCATTGCTACCACTCTGTCCTTGCTGATAGACAGATAGACAGATAGATGCATATACACACATACATCTAAATATTCATATCATTGAAATTCCACAAGGAGAGGTAAAAGAGAGTGGGACTGAAAACATCTTGAATAAGTAAAGGCTAAAGACTTTCCAAATTTGATAAAAGACCTAAATCTACAGAGTGAAGAAACTCAGTGAATCCCAAGTAGGATAAACCCAACAAAATCCACGCAAAGGCACATCATAATTAAATTTCTGAAAATTAAAGACAAATCTTAAATTTAGGCAGAGAAACAATGTGTTACCTATCAGGCAAAACAGATTTGGATTACGGTAACCTCATCTGAAACTATGGAGCCAGAAGGAGATGGCAAAATGTTTGTCAAATGCTGAAAGAATTGTTATCCACAAATTACACATCCAGTGAAAGTGTCTTTTAGGAGTGTAGGGGAAATAAAAGACATTCTCAGATGAAAGAAAACTAAGAAAATTTGTTCTGTTACAGCTTTATGTATTATTTGCCCATGACCTATCTTGTATTGAAAAAGTAAATTTAAATCTTTAGGTATTAGTGTGTTTCTATTTCTCCTTGTATGTCTAGTAACTTCTGCTTTATAAAGACTGTTTTTCAGTGGATAAATGTTCATACACATTCTCTTCATGAAGTGTCTTTTAATGTCAAAATATGTTTTATATCTAATGCTTGTTGGTGTGAACTTCAGTGATGACAGGATTATAAACTATGATTCCTTATTTGCTTTGGTCACTCTTGTCTTTGTCACCTCTTTGAATCTGTTTCTGTACCTCTTTGTACAGCACAGGGAGGGTCTTGCTTTGTGAGAATTTAAAGATTTTTATTAATATCATAAATGTTATGTATATTTTTATTGTATTTACTATTTCTCTCCATATTTCATTCCATGGTACTCTTTAATTTTTAACTTTCTTTATATAATCAGGAAGATTATTTCCTCAGTTACTGCATGCTTGAAACTAGTTTTCTATAATCTTTATACCTGAATGATTGTTGTGTTAGATATAAAGTTCCTGGTTTCTACTTTCTCGAGTGTCTTGAAAATGCTTCTACACCGTTGATGTGCTTTTATGTTTTTTTTAACATATATGATGCAGACCAAATTCTCTTGCCCTTCTAAGTTATGTGGACTTTGTGACTAGAAGTGTTAAGGAATTTTTCTTCATTTTTAAATTTTACTAGGCAATACCTTGAGGTAGTTTACCATACTGATCAATTTCGTCAGTACATGGTGGGTCCTTTCCAAATGTAAATTCAGATCTTTTATGTCTAAGAAGTTTTCTTGGATTGTAGCTTTTCTTTTTCAGGTACTCTAATTGTAAATACATTGCCTGTCCTCTGTTTCTGCCACTTTCTCTGATTCTTTTACTACCTTCTTTAATCTCATTTTTATTCCCTGGGGTTTCTGTCCTCAATGCTCTTTTTGAATTTTTATTTGAATCTCTTCTCCTTTATTACCTTGAGATTGTCTTCATTTTTCAATGGTTTTCTCCTTTTCTTTTTTTTTTTTTTTAAAGATTTTATTTATTTATTTGACAGAGATCACAACTAGGCAGAGAGGCAGGCAGAGAGAGAGGAGGAAGCAGGCTCCCTGCTGAGCAGAGAGCCCCATGCGGGGCTCGATCCCAGGACCCTGGGATCATGAACTGAGCTGAAGGCAGAGGCTTTAACCCACTGAGCCACACAGGTGCCCCATTTTCTCCTCTTCTTCCATTTATTTTCTATATTTAGTTAAGTATTCTCAATTTTTGGGGGGGTGTCCATTTCTGTCCTTAATTTTCAAGTTTTTCTTGTTTTTTTTTTTTTTAACCTCTCTGAATGCTTATTTGAGCTTATGTAACTCAACATTTAATTCTGCATTGTAGATTTTTTCTGCTTTATGAGATTTTAATTTATTGGAGCAAAGATCATAAACTGATATGCTTGACTCATTTTTTTTAACTTCTTTTAGAAGCTATATTATAGCTATTGTAGATCTCTTTCACCTTATTATTTTGTGGTTAGAGCAGATGTTTTCTTAATCTAGGTGCAGCCTTTTTTGTTAATGTAACAAAATTCATCTTTTAGTGACAGTAGTGATTGTCTTTTGTTTGATCCCCATTTATTTTTCTGGATAATTAATTCTCCCTTCTTGCTTATTTCCTTTTTCACAAACTATCCTGGAGGGTTTCTCTCTTTTTCTTTCCCCTTCCTCTCTTTCCAAAAGTAATGCCTTTCTGGGATCGGTATTTTTATACTGAACACTTTAAGTCCCTGCTCTATAACCCATTCTCCAGTCTTCTCACACATAAAGTGGACTTTATTTTTCTAAAGTTATTTCAGTTCAGTTTGAACAAATTTGAACTCATTTCCCTCTTTCCTCTTCCATATGGTTTTGAGAGCCCTCATTCTCTACAAAGGCTTAGATCAGGACTTGAGTTTCAACTTTGCTATATATGGTGTTTCTTTCTATTTACAGGTAATTTGAAGTTGTACTGTTACCTGTTTTTAATATTTGTGGTTGCATTGTTCTACTTGTTGGATAAGTGTGGAAAGATTAGGATTTAGGCCACTATAATTTTCCTCAGGTTATCTAGAAGTCCACACTTGTGCTCTTTTCTAATCAAGGATAACCAAAAAACAAACAAAAAATAAACAGAACCCCACGTAAGTTTTAGTTTCTGTTTCTCTCTTTAAAATAAAAGCTTAAGTTTTCAAATTTTCCTTTCTTGAAGAGGGATATATTTCCAAAAGACTGATAGAAGAATTTTTTATAATTTAATCCTATTTTTTGAAAAAAGAACTTTCAGTTAGAAATAATATTTGGAAACATGCATATAGATCCTTTTTCCACAGAAATTGAAAAGAAACAACTTTAAAAATATTCCTTTAGAATTTGTAGAACTCTAGGGTTGTTACATATTTTATAACAGTGTCATCTCTTCTAGTTCTTTGCCTTTGTAAACAGAATTTTCTATCTTTTTTTTAGACCTCATCATTAATATTCTTTACATGATTAAAATTTTCCTGTAACATTTGTTGATATAATTAAATATTTTAACTGGGTAATTTTTAATTTTTGTACTATAATTTTATTTTCTAGCTGATTCAAGGTTGTGCTTGGTTGTGTGGAACAATTATTTTGAAATTTCTGACATCTAAAATCTTAGGTGTTTCAGATCATGTAAGTACTTTCTAGTTAAAGCATAAAAACTCCTGCAAATATGTAGATAGATGAAAACTTTGAAACCATCTATTTTTACCTATTTATTTTATAGAGATTAAGTGCCTTCCTCAAAGACCTGGGGTTTTTATTGGCTGAGTCAGTAATAAAACCGTGCAGTTCAATGATCTTTTCAACCCACTAAGAAAAAACTAGCAAAAAATGCTGACTTAGCTATCCAGGAAAAATATTAATAATATCTTAAGTAGTTATGTGTTTGTATTTCAGTTAAAATACAAATAGGGGCATCCGGCTCGCTCACTCAGTAGAGTGTACAACTCTTGTTGGGAAGGTGGGTTCAGGCCCATGTTGGGTGTGTAAATTACTTTAAAATCTTTTTTAAAAAATCATTTGTTTAAAATAATAAATTGTACATTTATTGGAAATGTTAACATATGAGAAGTTTGTACTCCACTTTGAAATATAAAACTCTCACAATCTCAATGTCATTTTATAGGTATATAATTACAGACTAAAATTAAGATGTGACTTGATATTTTAAAAGTTTTCTAGTAATATAAAAGGAAAATGGGAAATGTTAAAAATTCTTTATCTTTTCAACTTCTGGAAAATATATGGACCCATCCTTGATGTGTGGTGTGTGTTTTAAAGCCAGTGTCTTACAGAATAGCCTTTGTCAAACCAAAGCCCCTACTTAGCTAATTGGTTCAGGTGAACAGAAAACAGTGCAGGAATTTACTTTTGATTCTTCACACTTATTGTTTGGATATGAGTGTACATGAGTGTATCATACAGTAATCTACTCTGGAATGCACTTCATCCAGTACTGTCCAGTTAGGAAGCTGTGTAATGCTGAAGTTTCTTCACCTTTAACCAGGGATTATGTTACTTACTCACTGAATGGTAAAGTGCTATCACTCTCCAAGAGAATGAGCTTACTTGCATGTTGAGGTTAAATAAAATTTCAAAATGTAAGAATTTATTCATCATTTATTGCTATCTCTGCATGATGATTCATTAGGTTTTTTTTTTGTTGCTGCTGTTCTCTGGTATGTCTGACACATTTTCCTTTTTTCTTTCCCTTTCTGTTCCTAACTTTTGAATCTGTAGGGGCTCTACATTTTATGGTAAACTTTACTGAAGCCTCCTAAGTTATTTATTTATGTTGATTTGGTCTATGGTTTTCTTTTCTGCCATATTGACATATTCCACATTGTCACCCAACTGATTACAAATCTTACACACACACTCACACCTCCACACACATACACACACATTCTTGGTACTCTCTCTCTTTTTTTTCTATAGTCTTTTTTTAAAATTAACATATAATGTATTATTAGCCCCAGGGGTACAGGTCTATGAATCATCATGCTTACATACTTCACAGCACTCACCATAGCACATACCCTCCCCAGTGTCCATAACGCAACCACCTCTCCATACTCCCCTCCCAACCAGCAACCCTTGGCTTATTTTGTGAGATTAAGAGTCTCTTATGGTTTGTCTCCCTCCCGATCCCATCTTGTCTCATTTTTTCCCTCCCTATCCGCCAACCCCTCCCCCCCACTTTGTCTCTCAAATTCCTCATATCAGGGAGATCATCTGATAATTGTCTTTCTCTGACTGACTTATTTTGCTCAGCATAATACCCTATAGGTCCATCCGCATCATTGCAAATGGCAAGGTTTCATTTCTTTTGATGGCTGTGTAGTATTCCATTATATATATATATATATATATATATATATATATATATATATATATATATACACACACACATATATATATATACACACACCACATATTCTTTATCCATTCATCTGTTGATGGACATCTAAGTTCTTTCCATAGTTTGACTATTGTGGACAGTGCTGCTATAAACAGACAGTGCATGTGCCCCTTCGGATCACTACATTTGTATCTTTAGGGTAAATACCCAGTAGTTCGATTGCTGAGTCATAGGGTAGCTCTATTTTCAACTTTTTGAGGAGCCTCCATGCTGTTTTCCAGAGTGGCTGTACCAGCTTGCATTCCCACCAACAGTGTAGGAGGGTTCCCCCTTCTCCGTATCCTCTCCAGCAACTGTCATTGCCTGACTTGTTAATTTTAGCCATTCTGACTGGTGTGAGGTGGTATCTCATTGTGGTTTTGATTTGTATTTCCCTGATGCCAAGTGCTGTGGAGCACTTTTTCATGTGTCTGTTGGCCATCTGGATGTCTTCTTTGCAGAGATGTCTGTTCATGCTCTCTGCCCATTTCTGATTGGATTATTTGTTCTTTGGGTGTTGAGTTTGAAAAGCTCTTTATAGATTTTGGATACTAGCACTTTATTTGATGCATCATTTGCAAATATCTTCTCCCATTCTGTCAGTTGTCTTTTGGTTTTGTTGACTGTCTTCTTTGATGTGCAAAAGCTTTTGATCTTGATGAAGTCCCAATAGTTCATTTTTGCCCTTGCTTCCTTTGCCTTTGGCGATGTTTCTAAGAAGATGTTGCTGTGGCTGAGGTCAAAGAGGTTGCTGCCTGTGATTTCCTCAAGGATTTTGGTGGATTCCTTTCTCACATTGAGGCCCTTCATCCATTTTGAGTGTATTTTTGTGTGTGGTGTAAGGAAATTATCCAGTTTCATTTTTCTGCATGTGGCTGTCCAATTTTTCCAACACCATTTGTTGAAGAGACTGTCTTTTTTCCACTCTATACTCTTTCCTGCTTTGTCAAAGATTAGTTAACCATAAAGTTGAGGGTCTGTTTCTGGGCTCTCTATTCTGTTCCATTGATCTATGTGTTTGTTTTTGTGCCAGTCCAATACTGTCTGGATGATGACAGCTTTGTAATAGAACTTGAAGTCTGGAATTGTGCTGCCACCAACTTTGGCTTTCTTTTTCAACATTCCTCTGGCTATTCAAGGTCTTTTCTGGTTCCATATAAATTTTAGGATTATTTGTTCCATTTCTTTGAAAAAAGTGGATGGGATTTTGATAGGGATTGCATTAAATGTGTAGATTGCTTTAGGTAGCATAGACATTTTCACAATATTTGTTCTTCCAATCCATGAGCATGGAACATTTTTCCATTTCTTTGTGTCTTTCTCAATTTCTTCCATGAGTACTTTATAGTTTTCTCATAAAGATTCTTTGCCTCTTTGGTTAGGTTTATTCCTAGGTATCTTATGTTTTGGGTGCAATTGTAAATGGGATCGACTCCTTAATTTCTCTTTCTTCTGTCTTGTTGGTGTATAGAAATGCAACTGATTTCTGTGCATTGATTCTATATCCTGACACTATACTGAATTCCTGTATGAGTTCTAACAGATTTGGAGTGGAGTCTTTTGGGTTTTCCACATAAAGTATCATATCATCTACAAAGAGTGATAGTTTGACTTCTTCTTTGTCGATTTGGATGCCTTTAATTTCTTTTTGTCTGATTGCGGAGGCTAGGACTTCTAGCACTATGTTGAATAGCAGTGGTGATAATGGACATCCCTGCTGTGTTCCTGACCTTAGTGGAAAAGCTCTCAGTTTTTCTCCGTTGAGAGTGATTTTCGCTGTGGGTTTTTCATAGATGGCTTTGATGATATTGAGAAAAGTACCCTCTGTCCCTATACTTTGAAGAGTTTTGATCAAGAAAGGATGCTGTACTTTGTCAAATGCTTTTTCAGCTTCTATTGAGAGTATCATATGGTTCTTGTCCTTTCTTTTATTAATGTATTGTATCACACTGATTGATTTGTGGATGTTGAACCAACCTTGCAGCCCAGGAATAAATCCCACTTGGTTGTGGTGAATAATCCTTTTAATGTACTGTTGGATCCTATTGGCTAGTATTTTGGTGAGAATTTTCACATCTTTGTTCATCAAGGATATTGGTCTGTAATTCTCTTTTTTGATGGGGTCTTTGGTTTGGGATCAAGGTAATGATGGCCTCATAAAACGAGTTTGGAAGTTTTCCTTTCATTTCTATTTTTTGGAACAGTTTCAAGAGAATAGGTATTAATTCTTCTTTAAATGTTTGGTAGAATTCCCTGGGAAGCTATCCGTCCCTGGGCTTTTGTTTGTTGGAGAATTTTGATGACTGTTTCAATCTCCTTACTGGTTATGGGTCTGTTCAGGTTTTCTATTTCTTCCTGGTTCAGTTTTGGTAGTTTATACGTCTCTAAGAATGTATCCATTTCTTCCAGATTGTCAAATTTGCTGGCGTATCATAGCTCATAATATGTTCTTATAATTGTTTTTATTTATTTGGTGTTGGTTGTTATCTCTCCTCTTTCATTCATGATTTTATTTATTTGGGTCCTTTCTCTTTTCTTTTTAATAAATCTGGCCAGGGGCTTATCAATCTTATTAATTTTTTCAAAGAACCAGCTCCTAGTTTCATTGATTTGTTCCACTGTTTGTTTTGTTTTGTTTTGTTTTTGGTTTCCATTTCATTGATTTCTGCTCTGATCTTTATTATTTCTCTTCTCCTGCTGGGTTTAATCTTTCTTTGCTGTTCTCTTTCCAGCTCCGTTAGGTGTTGGGTTAGGTTGTGTGTTTGAGACCTTTCTTGTTTCTTGAGAAAGGCTTGTATCGCTATATATTTTCCTCTCAGGACTGCCTTTGCTGTGTCACATAGATTTTGAATAGTTGTGTTTTCATTATCATTTGCTTTCATGAATTTTTTCAATTCTTCTTTAATTTCCTGGTTGACCCATTCATTCTTTAGTAGGGTGCTCTTTAGCCTCCATGTTTTTGGGTTCTTTCCAAGTTTCCTCTTGTTATTGAGTTCTAGCTTCAAAGCACTGTGGTCTGACAGTATGCAGGGAATGATCCCAACCTTTTGATACCGGTTAAGACCTGATTTATCATCCAGGATGTGACCTATTCTGGAGAACGTTCCATGTGCACTAGATAAGAATGTGTATTCTGTTGCTTTGGGATGGAATGTTCTGAATATATCTGTGATGTCCATCTGGTCCAGTGTATCATTTAATATCTTTATTTCCTTGTTGATCTTTTGCTTGGATGATCTGTCCATTTCGTTGAAGGGGGTGTTAAAGTCCCCTACTATTATTGTATTATTATCAATGTGTTTCTTTGATTTTGTTATTAATTGGTTTATATAGTTGGCTGCTCCCATGTTAGGGGCATAGATATTTAAAATTGTTAGATCTTCTTGTTGGACAGACCCTTTGAGTATGATATAGTGTCCTTCCTCATCTCTTATTATTTGGCTTCTAATCTAATTTATCTGATAAAAGGATTGCCACCCCAGCTTTCTTTTGATGTCCGTTAGCATGGTAAATTGTTTTCCACCCCCTCACTTTAAATCTGGAGGTGTCTTTGGGTCTAAAATGACTTTCTTGTAGGCAGCATATTGATGGGTTTTGTTTTTTTATCCATTCTGATACCCTGTGTCTTTTGATTGGGGGCATTTAGCCCATTAACATTCAGGGTAACTATTGAGAGATATGAATTTAGTGCCATTGTATTGCCTGTAAGGTGACTGTTACTGTATATTGTCCCTATTCCTTTCTGGTCTTCTACTTTCAGGCTCTCTCTTTGCTTAGAGGACCCCTTTCAATATTTCCTGTAGAGCTGGTTTGGGGTTTACAAACTCTTTTAGTTTTTGTTTGTCCTGGAAGCTTTTTATCTCTCCTTCTATTTTCAATGATAGCCTAGCTGCATATAGTATTCTTGGCTGCATGTTTTTCTCATTTAGTGCTCTGTATGTATCATGCCAGTTCTTTCTGGCCTGCCAGGTCTCTGTGGATAAGTCTGCTGCCAGTCTAATATTTTCAACCTCGTATGTTACAGACTTCTTGTCCCAGACTGCTTTCAGGATTTTCTCTTTGTCACTAAGACTTATAAGTTTTACTATTAGATGACGGGGTATGGACCTATTTTTATTGACTTTGGGGAGAGTTCTCTGTGTGTCCTGGATTTTGATGCTTGTTCCCTTTGCCATATTAGGCTTTTACTTCTCCAGACAGGATTTCTCTAATATCTTCCATGCCTTTTTTGACCCCAGCTAACACCTTGAGAATCGTCATTCTGAACTCTAGATCGGATGCATTACCAATGTCCATATTGATTATGTCCCTAGCCTTCGGTACTGCCTCTTGTTCTTTTTTTTGTGGTGAGTTTTTCCACCTTGTCATTTTATCTTTCCAAAAATGGTCGATTTTCTGTTTCTAGAATTGCTGCTCTTCTTCTCTTCAATCTCCTGTTGGGTTTGTAGGTGTTTGGAATGGTTTGATAACTATCTAGCTGAACTCCTGCAAACTGATGTCATCTCAGTCTGCTACTCCTCCACCATCTTGACTCCTCCCCGCGTGACCCACACTCTTGGTACTCTTAAGTGAATTCCTGTATGTGACAGTTTTGAGACTTGAAATGAATGTGGTTTAATTAAATTATTATCAATCATCAGGCCTAGTTCAAATTAGAAAAGTCTGAATTATCCTTGCTACTGATAGTTAAGGGAAGCATGAATAAATGAAAACCCAGACAATTGTTACATTTGATATAAAATAATTTTTGTTCCTGCAGAATAATTTGAATTAAGGTTTACATTCCAGATATTTTCTTTCTTTCTTTCTTCTTTTTTTTTTTTTTGGACTTCTGAGAATGCAGTAGAAAAATAATTGTCTCACTGACAGTAGGTAATAAATAATCAGTAGAAAATAGGAGTTCTACATTGAGTTTGGTTGGAGATGTTTATTTCAAAGGCCTTGGAAATTAACTAACTAAATCAAAGTAGTGTTTGTAGTTGCTGTTCTTATGATGAATAGCTCTTATGTTTAATGGCTTGAGTGTATGTCTGAAAAATTGAACAAGCACCAAAAATTGTAACCAGTGTATGAGACTTTGAGAAAATAACAACACATAGAAAATTTAATCATGATTTGTGATATGTAGTGAAAGGGTTATGTGAGATAGTTTCCTTCTTAATGAATGCTGATTATAAAATCTCATGATTAACTGCATGGTAGTTTCTGCTCAGTGAGTATTGGTCTTAGCTCACTCTTTATATTATCATCTCTGTTTAATTTTTTCTGACCTCTATTCTTCTTTTCATTTCTTGTGGTATTTCCCTTTGTTTTCAGTTTTCTTCATAATTCAGTGCATAGGAATGTATAGTTCATGGATTTTTTAAAAAATTTTCTTTGAGGGGCATCTGTGGACCTTGAATTATCTCCTTTGTAGACTTTACTAATAAAACAAATCAATTATTATTGACCATAATTCCTAGGGTAATTTTAATTTATTTTACTTTATTTCTTCCCAGATTCGCTTGAGTGACCTTATAGCAGCCAGAATCCTAAGGTATACAGATTTTGATACCTTAATTTACACCTGTGCTCCTGAATTTGACTTCATGGAAAAAGCGGTATGAATGTTTTTTTGATTTTTTTCCTTTTCTACAGGTATGATAGTTTTTTGCCCTTGAATTTTCCTTTTAGTCTGAAACTCACAATTTTTGTCCAGAGACATCCAACTTTATCATTTTTTTATTATAACTTTTATTAGTCATATAGTAACTTCTATCTTAAAGAGTTATTGATGATGATTAAGTGAGATAATCCAGGAAGAGTGCTGAACATACTCTCTGATCCACAGTTCAATTGCTTTCATTTTTTTAATACATTTTCAATATAAATAATTTATATTTATACTATATATTATATTGTATACATTATATTCTATATTATATATTTCATATTCTATAATATGTAAAATATATATTTATGTTATTTAATATATTTTTGTTAAATATATTTGAATACTTTAATATAAATATATTTAAATATATTTAACATAAATATATTTTTCATGTATTTTTTTAAAAGGTTGTTTTTAATTTATTTATTTGAGAGAAGAGAGAGAGCCAGAGCTTGAGCAGGGGGCAGGTCAGAGGTAGAGGAAGAACCAGACTTCCAGTGAGCACAGAGCCCATGATGGGCTTGATCCCAGGACCCTGGGATCATGACTAGAGCCGAAGGCAGATGTTTAACTAACTGAACCACCCAGGTGCCCCATACAGTTCAATTACTTTTAATAATCTAGGTCACCTGCTCAAATCCAAATTCTCTTTTGATTTTTAGAAACTTTAGTTTTATTTCACTTAACACTCTAAATATTATAAAAAAATTTTAACAAGATGCTGCCATGAAAGGTATACTACTAATCATACATTATTCTCTTTTTTATCCAACCAGTCATACATTCACTCAAAAACTATTATGAGTACTATTTATTTATCTGTGAGGCAGTTTGCTGTAGGACTGACTATAAGGAGGAAAATGTCTTGGTTCCTGCCTTCAAGAAGTACTTAATTCAGTGGCATGGTAAATCACTCAGACCACAATAATGGGTCATGAGAATTATTTAGCTGCTGATGTTATTTTATTGCTTACTCATATTTACAGTTATTACATAGACTGGCTTTCTTCCTTGTTTGTTCTAGTTTCACCAATGAAAATAATGGAACTTTGCAGCTCAGGAAATGATAATGTAGGGTCTGGGGATGAGTAAACATAAAATTTAAGAATTAATATTATGTAAATAAAAGAAAGATAAAACCAAAAGAAAGGAAAAAATAATAGACATAGCTTATTTTTGGTTTAATGTTTTTTACTGTTAAAATCTTTGGTACATTTATATAATTTTTTATAATTTTTATTCTTGTAGTAGAAGATGAAGGTTGATAAATATATATATAACGTTAATGACAAAAACATTTTTACCTTTAAGGAATTTCACTGTAAGGTGCACCTGGGTGGCTCAGTGGTTAAGCAGCTGCCTTCGGCTCAGGCCATGATCCCAGGGTCCTGGGATCAAGCCCCCCATCACATCGGGCTCCCTGTTCAGCGGGAAGCCTGCTTCTCCCTCTCTCACTCCCCCGACTTGGGTTCCCCCTCATGCTGTGTCTCTCTCTGTCAAATGAATAAATATTAAAAAAAAAAAAGAAAGAAAAAAAAATTTCATTGTGATACTCAATTTGACAGATTTTTACTCATTTACTGTAAAATTTAATAAATGACTATTTTGAATAATTTGCTTTATTTCAGACTCCATTGAGATATACAAAGACATTATTGCTTCCAGTTGTTATGACGATTACTTATTTTATCTTTAAAAAGGTATTTTTAAAAAATTTTTTCACTTGCTTTTGGGTACAAGATAAGGACTATAGTGCATTAATGCTAATAACTGGGAATTCCATTTTATTTTTAGGAGGAATCCATACCCCCTTAAAAAATTTCTTTTTCAGCTTTCTCTTTATTTAGTATTATATGGTTTTTTAAAAATTATTATATGAGTTTTTTAGAAAGCCTCATCAGAAAGGATATTCTTATTCTTTCAAAAGAAATCAGTTACCCACCATGTACCATGAACTACATTCACAGTGTTAGTCCACTGGGACAAATAAAACAGGTCTTCTCCTGTCTTGGAACTTACAGTCTTGGTGGGCTTCAAGCAAATAATCGCACAGTTTGAAGAATTAAAATTGTCGAAGGAGCTGTGAAAGGAAAACAACAGTTCAGTATCTTCTGAATATAAAGCACATTCAAGCAAATCTTGATCCATTTTAAGACACGCACAGGAGAATTTTGTATAGAAATTCTTTAAAACATTGTGTATTCTATTTATTTTCCCAACAAAAGAAGTATTACTATGATAAAAGGAATAATGTTCTAAAATACCTCTGGTAGATTTTCTTGGTCTGGGAGTAGTGTAAAAATTCTAGCTAAAGACACTGGGTCTTTGTTTTTAGCATTTTTGAACCATCTTTATATTGTTTAGAGGTTGTCTTAAGTCAGTATGTATTTATTTTATACCTTCAAGTAGATAGCAATAACATTTCTCTACTACTATACCGGGTGTGGTCCTGTTAAAACTGGTTTTCTTTATTTAAAGTCAAATTGCTTTTCTTCTCTCTATAGTTCCAGCTCCCACATTTCTCATTCCTGTGTTTTCACATAAAATGTGAACAATTTGAGTGAGAAAGGCATCTGCCTCTACATCTCTGTGGTTTCTCCTTTGACCCAATTCCCTAGAGACCACTTGGAAAGAGGATTGGGGTAGTAAGAAGAAATGGGTAACTACACACTGTGTCCCTTTGGCTCCACCTAACTCTCCACTAGCCTGTTTCTGTTCCATCATGACAAATGGTGCTATTCTTTGAAGGCTCCACTTAGAGGAGCTAATGCAGGAATTAACTACTCAGTGGGGATATCGCTAACATGGGAGAAGATGACAGCTAGATCCACTATTACTATCTTCATAAAATTAAGACCCACGACTCATAAACATAGTACTAGCTCCTAAACACACCACAGCTCAAACCATGCATATGCATTAAAAGGCATTTTTGTGCATTTGCTGCATATGCCCACACACGTGTGCGTAGACATGTCCCCTTCCCTGTACCCATTAAAGTGTAACACTTTTCTGTCTCCATATAAACCCTTCCTTTTTATTTGTCCCATTGTGGCTTATTTTTTTATTCCTCAAGAATACTTCTGATGTTCATTTACTTTTTCAGTTATATGAAATCGCTTCTGGGAAGAAAGAAGGAAAGCAAATATCGTACGATTTTTCTGTGAAACACTGAATTTTAAACTCCTATGAGTGCATATGTTCTATTAACTAAACCCCTAAATAGGCTTTTTGCTTGCCTAAGTGACCACAATCTCACTTGTGTCACTTGAAACATTCATCCACATATTATGCACAGTGTAAAACTTGAAGTTCCCCATAATTTTTTTTTACTATACCTTTAAGTTGCCTAGGATGCAGCTAAAAACTCTTTGGCCCAGTTAAGCCCCCACATTCACCTTCACTCCTCCCTTCCTCTCTCACCATCAAGTGGTACATTGTGGTAAGCGCACTTCAGCCTTCTGTTGTTATTTCCGCGGGACCTAGATCAGGGAAGATATGCCACAGCTAATTTTATAAGAATCAGAAGTTTACTGAAGCAGGAATATAAACTGCATGGGTGGGAGGAGGTGGGCGGGTGGGGCAAGGGAGGGTTGGGGGAAGGAGAGAGAGAGTCCTGCTTTGCTTGGAAGGTTAAGATAAAATAGTCTCAAAGTACATGGAAGAAGGTGCCTCCATGGTGGAAACCAATTCCCCACTTGCAGCCCACTTCCCTCCCAGTAAAATATAAACTCTAATAAGGAGCTGTCCACGTGTAAGAGCTTAGAATTTTAGAGTTGAAATGGACCTTAAAGATTTACCCCAACGCCCTTTTCTTTCTTTCTTTTTTTTTTTTTTATAAAAGAATTTAGAACTTCAGGAAAATATTTGCCTGAGGCAGAGGTGGGATTAAAGTGCTCCTGATGACTCACTTTAACAATAAAAACACTTCTTTCTAGTGAGGGTGTTTATGTTTATAAATCAGAGCATTTTAAATGTCACATAATTCCTTAGAAAAGCTTAATTTATTCTATTCACAGGCTTATCGTGATGTTTTGTGTGTCTTATCTGCAAATACTTATCTAAGGTAATTATAATTGTTTTTAAATCATACTGTATTCAGTTATTAAATAACTACTGTAATATCAAATGAATGTATATTAAACCAGCAGTTTGATTAAGAAAGGAGACATGAACCAACCTTAGATGTTCTCTTTAAAAAATATGTATTATTTTTAGAGACCTCTTTTATGTGTTTGGACTTGTTTTGGAGATATTTCTATTTTAATTAACTCAAAGTTTTAATCAATTTAGTTTAATTTTAATATATAAAGTCCATAAACAGAAGTAAGCTAAAGTTTTGTTTTAGCAATCCTTGTTTTTTTAACTTTCAGAGAAAACATAATTATTTGTTTCTCTGCGTATTCATGAAGTAGTTTTTCTGCATTTATTGTTAAAACCATTTGCTGTATCACATTTTTTTTGGTGGTTTAAGTGAAGTCACTAACTTCGCTGGCATAAATATATGTGAGAAAAATATAACTCAAATCACACATTGCTACAGGACATGTGAGATTATGAAGAAAATCTCCTTATGAGGAAAATCTTAAATTACATTTTATACTTGCAGATATATGATTAAATTTGATGTATTAATGAATTTTATTTTTTAGGACAGTTTCAGATTTACGGAATAGTTGTGAAGATAGTACAGAGAGATTCTATCAGTCCTGTACCCCATGCTTATATTTTCAGTAAACAGTTTCGTATGGTTATCAGAAGGGCTTAATAGAACTTTATGGTTGGAATAGTTTAATCTTATTTGTCAAAATCCAAATCAAAGGGCTTAATAGACCTACTCTACTTTGCTCTGGTCTGAGGGACCTCAGAGCAATATGCCTTAACATTGTAAAAAAGAGTGTTTTTAGAGCTCTGAGAACTATTCACATAAGGAATGCATGATGGCATCTGGGATATTTAATTGAATAATAGAAGATTGAGAGTTACATGACAGCTGTCTTCAAATATTTGAGAGGGTGCAGTGTAGAAGAAGACAGACTCAAGGGGACCAAAGGGAGAAGATATTTAGCTCAAAATAAGAAGGTGATTACATTCCTGGAAGTGACAGGATTGTGTGTGTGTTGGGGGAGGGATGTAGAGGAGTTTTTTAATTACAAAATAATACATGCATATAGTAAGACATACAGATGAAATATTTCAAGGAAAGAGGGAGTGTTTCTCTCCCTTGGATCTACTCCTCACTGGTGCTGATTGTAAATGGTTTTGTATGTATCATTCTAGAAAACATTAACAAAAACAGTGTTTTTATAAAAAAATAGAATCAGTATTATTATGTAACTTTTTATTTTTACTTAATAGTGTATCTTGGGTGTCTGCCTATATCTTCTTCATACTTTTTAGTGGTCTCCACATTTTATTGTTTGTCATCATGAATGATTACCAAGTACTTAACCACTCCCACATCAGTGGGCGTTAAGATTCTATTTATCTTTTTGTCATAACAACCAGTGTTAAGAGTAAGAACATATCTGTATGTATTCTTTGCATACTTATTTTAGTATTTAGGATATTGAAATAAGACTGCTAGATCATAATGTATGAATATTTATAATTCGATAAATACTGAAAACTAATGCTGAAAGTGTCCATTTCCTTGCATCTCCGTAAACACCAGTATTATCAAACATTTAACTTTTTCTTTCTGACAGATTAAAAAAAAAGGAACTCATTTTACCAGTCTTCCCTAGTAAAGTTTCACATCTTTCAAATGTGCGTGGCATATTTATGTTTCTTGGCCACTTGAAAATTGATGTATAGGATATTTTATATGATAGACAGTAACCTTTTGCCTATTACATGTATATAACATTTCTTCTAGGATATTAGTTTGTAATTTATTAATGGTTTTTGCTTTATAGAAGTTTAAAATTTCTTTACAGTCACTCCTATACATTTTCTGGGTTAATTTATTACTTAGAAATACCCACATCAAAATCATTAAATTATTTCCAAATATTTTCTTTCATAATTTTCATTTTTTGCCAAATACATATGTATGTATTTAAAGCATACAACACAATGATTATATGTACATTATGAAATGATTACAATTAAGTTAATAACACATCTAACACATCCATCACCTCACAGTTACCTTTCTGTGTGTGAGAACGCTTAAGATCCACACTCTTAGCAAACTTTATATAATATGGTATTATTAACTGCAGTCACTATGCTGTATATCAGTTTCTCAGAACTTCTTCATCTTATAACTAAAAGTTTGTACCCTTTGAGGAACATCATCCCTGTTAGCCCCCATTACACAGCCCCAAGCAACCACCATTCTATTCTGAGTTTGACTTTTTTCTCTTTTTTAGATTCCACATGTAAGTGATACCATAAAGTATTTTTTTCCTTTGGCCTATTTCACGTAGCATAACGCCCTTCAGGTTCATCCATGTTATCACAGTTGGCAGGATTTCCTTCTTTTTTTATGACTGAATAATACTCCATTGCATGTATGTATGTATGTGTGTATACACACACACACACACACACACACACACACACACACACACACCCCACATATTCTTTGTCTGCTTGTCCATCAACTTACATTATTTCTATATCTTGGCTATTGTGAATAATGCTTCAATGAACATGGAAGTGCTGATATCACTTCAAAATATGGGTTTTGATTATTTTGGATATATTCCCAAGAGTATGATGGCTGGATCATATGGCAGTTCTATTTTTAATTTTTTGAGGAACTGCCATACTGTTTTCCAAAATGTCTTTTCAAGTCATTTGCCCATTTAAAAATCCGATTATTATCATATATTTTTTTGCCATTGAGCTGTATGAGTTCCTTACGTACTCCAGATATTCACCCCGTATCAGATACACAGTTTGCAAATATTTTCTCCCATTCCATAGGTTACCTTTTCATTTTGTTGATTTTTTTCCTTTGCTATGCAGAAACTTTTTAGGTGATGTTGTCACACTTGTTTATTTTTCCTTTTGTTGCTGGTGATTTTGGTTGCCAGTTTCAAAAATTTATTGCTAAGACTCCTGTCAACTTAATCTTTGTGACTGGTGTAAGATAGGAGTTTAATTACATGGTTTTGCATGTGAATATCGTTTTCCATCCATCATTTATTGAAAACACTATCCTTTCCCCATTGTGTGTTTGTGCCCTTATCAAAGATAAATTGACCGTATATGCATGGGTTTATTGTTGGGCTGTCTATTCTGTTCCATTGATCTATGTGTCTTTTTATTCCTGTACCCATACTGTTTTGATTACTATAACTTTGTGGTATGGTTTGAAATCAGGAAGTGTAATACCTGTAGCTTTGTTTTGCTTTCCCAAGTTTATCTTGGAAATTTAAGGTCTTTTTTGGTTCCATATAAATTGTAGAATTGTTCTTTTTATATCTGTGAAAAATGTCATTGAATTTTGATAGGGATTGCATTAAATCTGTAGATTGCTTTGGGTGGTATGGATATTTTAACATATGTCTTCCAAACCAAAAGCATAGAATATCTTTCTATTTATTTGTGTTGTCTTCAGTTTCTTTTATCAATGTCTCATAGGTTTCAGTATAGAGGTCTAGTTTCTCCTTTGTGAAATGTATTCCTAAGTGCTTTATTGTTTTTGATGCTATTATAAATGAGATTGCTTTCTAAATTGTCTGTTTAGATGGTTCATTGTGATTGTGTAGAAATGCAGCTGATTTTTGTGTGTTGATTTTGTATTCCACAATTTTATTTATTTATTAGTTTTAACAGTTTTTTTGTGAAGTCTTTAGGGTTTTATGCATATAAAATCATGTCATCTGCAAACATAGATAGTTTTACTTTTACCTTTATTATTTTTTTAAATTTCTTTTTCTTGACTAATGCATTGATTAGACTTTTAGTACAAGATGGAGAGAAATAGAGTGGGCATCCTTGCCTTGTTCTTGATCTTAGAAGAACAACTTAGAGATTTTACAACATTGAGGATGAGGTTAACTTTGGGCTTGTCATATATTATATGCCATTTATTCTGTTGAGGTACGTTCATTTTGTACCTAATTTGTTAAGACTTCTTACCATGGAGGAGTTTTGAATTTTGTCAAATGCTTTTTTCTGTGTCTAATGAGATGATCAAATGGTTTTTATCCTTCATTCTTTTAATGTGGCATATCACATTTATCAATTTGTGTATATTGAACTATCCTTGTATTCCAAAGATAAAATCCCACCTGCTCATGTTGCATGATCCTTTTAATATGATGTTGAATTTGGTTTCTAGTATTTGTTGAGGCTTTTTGCATCTATGTTCATCAGGGATATTGGCCTACAAAATTCTTTTCTTTTATTATCCTCATTTTACTTCAGTATGAGAGTAATGTTAGCCTTGTAAAATGAGATTAAGCATGTCCCTTTATCTTAAGTCTGTTGGAAAAATTCGAGAAAGATTTGCATTAATTCTCATTTAAATGTTTGGTAGAATTCTCTAGTGAAGACATCTGGTCCTCCACTTCTTTTTTTTTTTTTTTTTGAGAGAGATTTTTTTGATTACTGATTCAGTCTCCTTACTAGTTTTTTTTTTTTTTTTTAAGATTTTATGTATTTATTTTTGAGAGACAGAGAGTGGAGGTGTGGGGGGGAGGAGCAGAGGGAGAGGGATAAGCACACTTCACTCTGAGTGCAGAACCTGATGTAGAGCTCAATTCCTGGGACCTGAGATTATGACCAGAGTTGAAATCAAGAGTCAGACGCTTAACCCCCTGAGTCACATTGCTGCCCCTCCTTACTAGTTTTAATTTTATTCAGATTTTCTTTTTCTTCATGATTCAGTCCTGGTAGGTTATTTCTAGGAATATGTTCTTTCTTCGGGATATCCAGTTGGTGTATAATTGTTCATAATAGTCTCTTATGACCTTTTGTATTTTTGTGGTATCAGTTTTAATGTTCCCTCTTTCATTTTTTAATTTTATTTATTTAAATCTTTTTTTCTTAGTCTAACTAAAGGCTTATAAGTTTTATCTTTTCGAAAGATCAGCTCTTAATTTTTGTTGATGTTTTCTATTGTTTCTTGTCTCTGTTTCATTTATTTTTCTTACAACCTCTGTTTCTTTGTTTCTTCTTTCCTTTGACTAACTTTGGTCTTAGTTTGTTCTTTTTCTAGTTCCTTGAAGTGTATAATTATTTATTTAAAATCTTTTTTTCTTAATGTAAGCACTTATCATAAAATCCTCTCTTAGAACTTTTGTTGCATCCTGTAAGTTTTGGTATGTTGTGTTATTTTTATTTGTTTCACGATATTTTTTATTTCCTTTTGATTTTTTCTTCGACCTATCAATTGTTCAGGATTAGATTGTTCAATTTCCATGTATTTGTGAATTTTCTATCTTTCCTACTTTATTGGTTTCTAATGTCATACTGTCGTGGTCAGAAAAGACCACCAGTCTTAAATTTGTTAATGATTGTTTTGTGACCTAACATAGGATCTATCCATAGAATGTTCTGTGTGCATTTGAGGAGAATATGTATTCTCCAGCTGTTGGATGGAATGTTCTGTGTATATTTGTTAGGTCCATTGGTCTAAATTGTAGTTCAAGTCCAGTATTTTCTCATTGATTTTCTGTTTGGATGATCCACCCATTGTTGGAATTGGGTATTGAAGTCCCCTTCTATTTAGCACTGTTTTCTATTTCTCCTCTCTGATCTATTAAAATTTGCTTAACTTATTTAGGTGTTCCAATGTTGGGTTACATATAGATTTACAACTGCTATATCCTCTTGATGAACTGACACCTTTATCATCATACAGTGACTTTGTTTGTCTCTTATTACAGTTTCAACTTAGTCTATTTCACCTGGAATATAGATTGAGATCTAGGTTTAGATATGTGTCATATATAGGTGTGTGTGTGTATGTGTATGATATGTAGAGTGACCCCTGCTTTCTTTTTGTTTCCATTTGAATGAGTATCTTTTTTCATCCCTTCATTTTCATCTTAATGTGTCCATAAAGCTAAAATGAGCTTCTTGTAGGCAGCATGTAATTGTCTCTTTCTTTTTTTTTTTTTTTAAAGAGAGAGAGCACAAGTAGGTAGAGAGGCAGGCAGATAGAGAGAGGGAAGCAGACTCCCTGCTGAGCAGAGAGCCCGATGTGGTGCTCCATCCCAGGACCCTGAGACCATGACCCGAGCTTAAGGCAGAGGCTTAACCCATGGAGCCACCCAGGCGCCCCTTGTTTTTTTGTTTTTTAATTCATTTAGCCACTTTCTGTCTTTTGGTTGGAGAATTAAATCCATTTATGTATATTTTTTAAAGATTTTATTTATTTATTCAACAGAGAGATCACAAGTAGACAGAGAGGCAGGCAGAGAGAGAGAGATGGGGAAGAAGGCTCCCTGCTGAGTGGAGAGCCTGACACAGTGCTCGATCCCAGGACCCTGGGATCTTGACCTGAGCCAAAGGCAGAGGCTTTAACCCACTGAGCCACCCAGGCACCCCTAAATCCATTTATATTTAAGATTGTTATTGATAGATAAGGACTTGTTATCTTGTTATCATCTGGTTGTTTTCCGTTTCATAGTTCCCTTCTTCCTCTCATGCTGTATTCTTTTTCTGTAATAATAACGCTTTGTTTCCTCTTAATTTTCTGTGAATCTACTGTAGTTTTTTTCTTTGTGGTTATCATGAGGCTTACATAATACATCTTATAGTTATAACAGTCTATTTCAAGCTGACAAAAACTTAACTTCAATCACATATAAAAATTCTGCCTTTTTACTTATCCTTTTGCTGTTACAGTTTATATCTGTTTATATTGCTATATACATTAACAAATTGTTGTGCTATATTTATTTTTAAATACTTTCTTTTTTTTACTTTTATACTAGATTTCAGTGATTTACATGGCACTATTACAGCAGTACAGTGTTTCCAATTTGACTGTATAATTAACTTTATGGTGAGTTTTATACTTTCATAGGTGTTCATGTTACTCTTAACATTCTTTCATTTCAACATGAATAACTCCCTTTAGCATTTCTCGTAAGGCAGGTCTAGTGGTAATGAAGTCCCTCAGCTTTTGTTTGTCTGAGAGTTATTCTTTCACTTCATTTGAAGGGCAGCTTTGCTGGTTGAAGTATTCTTAATTGGTAAATCCTTTAATTTCAGCATTTTGAATATATCATCCCATCCTCTCTTGACCTGCAAGGATTCTGCTGAGAAATCCACTAACAGCCTTATGGGGGTTCCCTTATATGAGATAATTTGCTGCTTTGACAATTCATCGTCTTTGGTTTTTATAGTTTCATTATAATGTATCTAGTGAATTTGGGAGATTAAATTTGTATTGGTGACTATGAGCCTCATGTACTTGGTATACATATCTGTCTCCAGATTTAGCAAAATTTCAACTGATCTTTAAATAAGAATTCTGCCCTTTTTCACTCTCTTCTCTCTTAGGCTGCCATAATGTAAATATTGTCTCTCCTGATGGCATTTCATAATTCACATAAGCTTTCTTCACTCTTTTTCATTCTTTTTCCTTTTCTCTTCTTACTGGATAATTTCAAATTATCAGTCTTCAAGTTCCCAGATTCATTCTTCTGCTTGATCAGGTCTCCTGTTGATGCTGTAAATTGCATTTTTCATTTTCATTCATTGCATTCTTTACTTCTAGAATTTTTTTTAGTTCTTTTTTTATAACTTCTAGTTTGCAGTTAAACTTGTTTTGTTCATGACTTGCTTTCCTGATTTTATTGTGTTGTCTACATTCTCTGTAGTTCACTCATCTTTCTTAAAACAATTATTTTAAATTCTTTGGCAATTCACAGATCTCTACTTCTGTGGGGTCAGTTACTGGAAAATGATTGTGTTCCTTTGGTTGTGTCAGGCTTCCTTGTTTTTTCATGTTTCTTATAGCCTTTCATTGATGTCTTCACATTTGATGGAGGAATGGTTTTGGAGAGGAAAGACGTTCACTTGCAGGTGGGTGTAAGGAGCCAGCTGGGTAAGGTGTGCTGTTTCCATTCCTGGGGAAGGCTCAGCAGTGTAGTGTCTGTGCAACTGAGTTTAGCATCGGTGAGGATTGCATGTGTCCTCAACCCGAGGATTGGTGGGTACATTTTTATCTGAAAAACACCTTTACTTTGCCCTCACATTAAGTTGATGGTTTGGTGAATAGGTATTTCTGGTTTCGTTTTTTTATTTAAAGCATTTTGTAGATAATTATTGGGTGCCAGGGTGGTTCAGTTAGTTAAGCATCTGACTTTAGCTCAGGTCATGATCCCAGGGTCCTGGGATCGAGTCCCATGTCTGGCTCCCTTCTCTGCAGGGAGTCTGTTTCTCCCTCTGCCCTTCCTCCCACTCATTCTCTCAATCTCTCTCTCTCTCTAATAAATAAATAAAATGTTTAAAAATTCTATAGACAATTATTTTCTAGCATTGAGCATTACTGATGAGAAATTTTATATAAAGTTTTGCTCTCTGGAAATTTATGGAGTTTGAGATATGAATGTACATATGTACATGAGTGTGTGTATTTTACATGTTTATTAGTTCATGGGACATTTTCTTTTTTTTTTTTTAAAGATTTTATTTATTTATTTGACAGAGATCACAAGTAGGCAGAGAGACAGAGGAGGAAGCAGGCTCCCTGCTGAGCAGAGAGCCCGATGCGGGGCTCGATCCCAGGACCCTGGGATCATGACCTGAGCCGAAGGCAGAGGCTTTAACCCACTGAGCCACCCAGGCGCCCCTCATGGGACATTTTAATCTGAACATTCACAACGTCCTTTACCTCAGAGAATTGTCGGCTCTCTTAATCTTTTGCTTTAGCCTCTCTTTTTCGAACATCTGTTATTGCTCTTTATCAATTTATATCATCTGTATGTTTGCAGATTTCATTGTACGTTCATATTTTAGATTAGCTACTAGATTTATTTGCATCAGCAATTATTGTCAGGGCCTGTCCTCCCTTGCACACAGCAGCTCACCGCAGGATCCTGTTGTGACCAGTAGATTTCAGGACAGGTGGGAAGCCCCCTACTCACCCCCTCTACCGGGCAAGTCAGGGCCAAGCTGCAACAGAGGCAGAGTGATTTGGTGATGGCACAGCTCTCCTGACAGGCCACCCCCTGACCAGCCTTTAAAAACAAACAAACAAACACCCTCTGGATCTGTGTGTGCCCTCAAACTTCCTTACCTCTTAGTGTCTTACTTGAGCTGCATTACTTTTCTCTCCAACCCCAAAATCCATAATAGAAGAAAACCTCTGCATGTAAAACCAGAGTCTTCCACTTTCTCAATGGAGCAACTAAACAGGCAGTCCATACCCCTAGTACGAGTGTAACACACAAGCTAAGAGGGGAACAACAACATCAACACCATTCAGACTGTGTTCACTTCACAGTGCCCAGAGCTCAATAGGTTCTTTAGAAATAAATTTTTGTAGAACTAAAAATATTTATATGCTTTACCCAGTAAGTTTTCTTCTGGAAGTTTATTCTGAAGAAACACTCAAGGTTGCTCAGAACTTTATGTACATGGTTGAATATTTAATAGAAATTATTTTTCTTTAAATCTTTCTAGAGGTATAGTCTCCAGCAATCAGTAAAATCTATTTTATCTTAACCAAAGCATGACTTTTTTTATATACCTTTATAGGATGACTATAAATCATGCCTTTCAAATTTTTATAATTTTTAGTGATATTGTCTAATTTTTATTTACTGAGTAGAGAGAATCAAATTTCTTAAACCTAAGAACAAATAAATTAAGTTTGTATTTATGTAATCATAATGGACATTCAGTAAATAGAGAATGTTTTTTATTCCAGAAAACAGCTCCTTGAACATGGTGAGGTAAAGCTTTCATTTTAATCTTTGCTATATTTGTGTATTAAATTCTAGTTCAAGGATAATTCACAAAGATTTTGCCTTGCTGCCAGTGCACTGTCAGCAGTGGTTCAGTGGTTCAGCATTGGTAATAAATGCTGATCCTTCCCCTGTGTTCTTTTGCTTTTTTGAAAAGTAGTAAGGATTTCTGAAAAATGGAAGGCTTATTTATGACCATGGAACATAATTAAATTGCTTTTATTTTTTCATTCACTCTTTTATTCATTCAACAATAAAAGCATTAATTCCTAACCCACTGAGCTAGTCAGCTTCAGCCCATCAGGGCAGACATCTGTGGCCCTGTGACTGGTGGCCTTTGGCCACACCCAGACTTGATGTGCAGTCAGTTACAATCTTGGAGTGTTAAGGGATACAGAAGATGGTATAGAGTGTTGCTGCCCTCAGATATGCACAATTTTTCCACAGAGACATGAAACAAATAAGACAACACATTATATGATGCCAAATTATGTTGTGGCATATGAAGAGAAAGCTCATAAGGGTAGAAATACGATTTCTTAAGTAATAGCGCTTTGAGTCTTAAAAGAAAGGCTAAATATAGAAGACAGGACAACTGAATTTGGACTTAATAAAAACAGCCTATAATGATAACAAATGTTTTTAATAGTTACTATGTGTCATGTACTGTGCTGTTTTAATTCTCATAATATTATTCCCATTCTGCAAATAAGAAAATTCTTAATTAGACGAAAGTAGCTGTTAACAGAGACAAACACTAATATTTCAATGACTTAACTCAGTGAAGTTTGATTCTTTGTTCACATAAAGTTGAAACCAGGAGTTCCTGATTAGTGGGTGACCCCCCCCCCCGCCCCACCCAGCAAGCAGTGATTGAGGAACCCAGATGCCTTCCAATTATAGCTTGGCCATCTGCGGTGTTCTTGTCTGCATCACATCAGCAAAGGAGAAAGAACAGGGAAGACTCTGCCCTGGAGGGCTGATGTGCTTGTCTACATGAAGGCAGCAAAGGAGAAAGAACAGGGAAGATCCTGCTTTGGAGATTTTGTGATGTCTGGGCCTGGAAATGGAAATGTGGACTTCTGTCCTCAGCTGGACCTCAGGCACATGGCCACACTTGTCGGCAGGGAGCTGGGAAATGGAGACTAGCTACATGTCTAAGAAGAAAAGCAAAGCAGTCTGGCCACAGAATAGAGACCTACAGAAATTAAATAGTTTTCCTCAGGTCTGCCTCTAATTCATAATAAAGCTTGCATTTCAACACTGGCAGTCCACTTCCAGTGTCTTCAAAGTAGTAGTCAATACTTACTGCCTCCTATAGGCAGGGCATTTGTGGAAGGGATTTACATATAGTTATAATTTCATTCACACAACAACCCATTGAGGTAAGTACAGTTGTTTTGTGTGTTGTACAGGTGAAAGAAAACTATGGCATGGAGAAGTTGAGCAACTTAGGGTCGCAAAGCTGAAGGGACCTAGGGACCTTAGCTCTGTGGAACCAAGGCCTTTGAACCTAGGGCATGTAGCAGGAGAGTCCGTGCTGTTAATCATTCAACACATGCTACGGCCTAACGTGAACTGTGTTTACGCAAATCAGTTGTGTCACATTGCCCAGTTTTACTTAGCAGGGCACATACATACTTTATATTCAGTGGGTATTCAAAACCCACTGCTTTTATTTATTTTTTTAAACCCACTGCTTTTTAAAAACACAGTGTTCCTTAATTTTCTGCCCTCTTTTCTCACATTAATTTTATTTTCTTATTCTCTTTTATTTCTCCATTTACCCTTATTTTGCCCATTTTAATTTTTCTTCTGTGTTCTAATCAGTTTAATCTTTTTTATGTGTCTATTAGGCACCAGGTCCCTGCTTTTGTAGAATTTAATGTGTAGTTTAGGAAGACAGGCAATGTGAACAGATAATGACATGTGCCTTGATAAAGGAAATAGGTAGAAAAATAGTGCAGAAAAAGTGATTACATCTGTGTGAAGAAGATGGGGTAGTTAGGGACAGATTTTTTTTTTATTGATGTTAGAGGAGTTTACCAAGGTCAGAGCGTATACATGTACAAAGGAGGCATAAGGTAATATGGTATGTTAAGCATTACAGGCAAATCAGGATTGCTGATGCATAGAAAAGATGTGATACATGTTCAGACTATGGTGACTTTATATGCAAAGAAGGTAGACTCTATCCTGGACTTTGTTGTTAAATAAGAAATGGTATAATCAGATCTAATTGTAGATATTTTTGTTCAGCTGTCAGTCAAAAGGATGGCTTTTTAAAAGGTAATCAGAATTTGGGGGAAGAATTACTTCTTTTGAAAAACAGATTGAGTGATATATGTTGGGGGTCTGTACCCTTCCATGTTCTCAGATTAATAGAACTATGTGGTTGAATAGTTTACTGGAAAGGAAGCGTAGTGTAATGGTTAAACACCCAGACTCGAGAGTTGGCCGGCCCCAGATCCCTCTTCTTCCATTTACTGGCTGTGTGATCATAGCCAAGTTACGTTACATCTTTTTGGGAACAACCAGATCAACAACAGTAACAACAATATTTATCCCACATGGCGGCTATAGGATTAAATGAGTTACATGTAAAATACTTAAAATGATGCCTAGTGTTAAGCCCTATGTAAAGGCCCACTTTTAAATTTGTGTGCTTTCTGGACCGAGACCTCAGGGGCTCCAACTAATACTCTGCCCTCTGTTAACTGTGCCAGTGAAGGGTATTTCTACCATGTTCTCATCATCACAACTGTTGTGGGAGGTAGGTTTGACAGGGTCAGTCTGCCATTTGGACTGACTTTCTACACTTTGTTTTCTTTGTGCTTGGGAGCTGCCACCTCACACTCTACCCAGTCACACTCCCTTATTCCAGGGATGGGGAGTGAAAAGTTTCCTGAGCTGCTCTTCTTTCCTTGCTTCTGGCTTCTAAAAGATGTTGTGAGGATTTTCCTAGTAATTTTTATGTGGATAGAGGTACTAACAAATTGACAGTATGTTACATACAGTACAGAATTTTGGACTGTGCTTTTTAACTGTAGCCTTCTGTCTTCTACTTGGTAGGTTAAAAAGAAAACTGTGTGATAGAATAGGAGATAAATTAACTATGGCAAGAGAGCTCCTAGAAAGTCAGTTGTAGCTTGTGAGTGGAAGAGAGTTTAGAGCATGTGGATAACAATAGAAGACAAATATGAGTGGTACTATTTAGAGTGCTTGTTCTATGTCATTCCCCCACAAAAAAACATTGTGCAGGGAAGATAAGGAAATGGTGAAGATCTTTCAGGTCTCCATATGCAGACAGAGTCCTTTCAGCTTTTAGGTGATAAAAGAAAGTCAAGAAGAGTTACTACTTTAGATTTAATTCTGGTCATATGAGAAGTTGGTGCTAAGGTAGAAGTGATGGGAAAAATAATAGAGTACAAGTGATGGGATTTCGAAGAGACAATGACAGTCTCATCCTGTGACTCAGAATAACCAAAGGAAGGCATATTGGGAGAAGTCAGATGTACACTTGCATAAATTAGACCACACCTATTGTAGTCTAACATTTTAATAGAACATAGGCAATCTGTACCATGTTCAGAGCAAGACAACCAGAATTATGACACCATAGAGCTAATGATTCCAAGTTTCTGAACATTTAACTTAAAAATAGAAAGCTTTCTAAGGGTAAAGGTGGGATTAGTGCAAAGTCATGAATACAGTATTTGAATAATAGAGAACTGCTATGTGCAAATAGGTTAGACTAATTTTGTGCAGTTGCAGAGGTGTGGAAATTATAGGGAGACATTGGTTCAGTTTCAGAAAATATTTTCTAACATTTACAGCCATCCATAATTATAATAGGCACTCCTATGCCTATTAGTGAATTAGTGAAGCGCCAGTTCATAGATTGACAGAAGAGATCAGGAATTAGTGAAGCGCCAGTTCATAGATTGACAGAAGAGATCTCTGTTTCGGATACAGGGTTAAAGAAGATGACCCATGTAATCTACCAATCTGTGATTTAATGGTCCTAAACAAAAAGACCTATTTGGGTGTGAAGTGTGTTAATGTCTTCTGTTCCTTCCACAACATGGCCCCAACTGTGTCCAAAGAGGAGTTTGAGGAAAAATGAAGGATTGACTTTGAAATAAATCTTCCACATTCTGACTTTGGATTCAAAAATAATGAAAAAATTAACAAATTCCATTTTTAAACATCTTTACTTAAAAAGGAAAAAAACACATCTTTGCATTTTGTTTTAAACATAAGTTATATATTTCTAATCTAAAATAACATGTTTAAAAAGTAAAATTCAGACAAATCACCATTCAGAAGTAATCTCTATTTTTAAGTACATAATTTTGTAGCCATCTCCACCCCTCCCACCCCAGCCATGCATGTATATATACAGATAGATGATTTTCACAAAATTAATCTTTTGTGCATATAATTAAACACATTGAAAATTTTCCATGCCATTAGATAATCTGCTAACACGTAATCTTTTAATGGCTATAGACATGTGGAAATGTGGTAATTTACTTATTCCTCTATAATGGTCACATAGGTTTTTTTCTGTTTTTGCCACTAAAAATTCACTTAAGTGATCCTCTTTGTACAGTATTTTTGGTCTTGACTATTCCCTTAAATTAGAATGGAAATTTAAGTCAAAGGGGTTGGCTCTTTTGTAACATCTTGATAAATAATGCTAAATGTACAAATTACAACAGTGTAGGTTTCAAGGACTCTTCTCTAACACTCAGTATTTAATAGTTGTCCATTTTATATGTGAAAATACCTATTATCTTCAATGTTTAATTTGTTGAATATTAGCAAATTCGAACATAAATATTTATTGACACTTGACTGGGTTGCATAGTCTATTTTTCTAGTGAAGAACTGGCTGATATTTTATGAGTATGTCTGTTAGAAAAATTTTGTCTGAAATCTTTGCTCAGTGGAAACCCATCTTAATAAAATGAGTGTCCTCCTAATCAGTACAAATATGTATATATATGATTCCATTACTTTAAAAATAATCTAGCTTGTGTTTTGTTCTGATTTTTGTTGCTGGCTGAGTGACATACAAACTTGTGAAGCATTCAATATTTGTATGTCTCTGTGGCTCACTTCCTCACCTTGCATGTGTGCTGTTCAAATGCCACCTCTTTAGTGAGGCCCTCCCTGATTGTCCTCCTTGGAATTACAACTGCTCCAGCTCGTGGCCTCACACCACACACAGTGTACTCCCAGCCTTCTTCTCCTGTTCCACTTTCTTCACTTTCTAAGAGACTATAATGGATTCATTTACTTGCCATGACTATTTCTATCTCTAATTAGTGAATGTTCTAAAATGTAAGTCTCACAAGGGCAGACTTTGCTCACTGTTATTTTGTTCACGGTTGTATCCATAGCCTCCAGAACAGTACATGGCATTTAGTATACATTTGCTAAATCTTTGTTGAATGAATGAATAAATATTACCAGACTTACTATTAAATTAAAAGATCCTTGACCTAATGAATGATAATAGTTTTAGTATATATTATATCTATTAATTTAAAAATATATAAAGTGAAATATCATTTCGTTTTGTTTTTACAGCTGATTTTTCACACATTGCAACTGTTAGCCTTCACTGTCCTTGCCATTTTAATCATGAGGCTGAAGTTGTTTTTAACACCTCACATGTGTGTTATGGCTTCCTTGATATGTTCTCGACGGGTAAGGTATTCATTTTGGTGCCAATACACTATAGTAACTGTATGTGTTACTGCTGGTGAGGTTTCCATAGTTATTTTAGATGTCCGTTAGAGCCAGGTATTACAGGATTTAGTTCCAGGATGTTTCACATTTTTGTGATTTGCTAATCTTAATCCTTGGTAGTAAATCAGTACTAGAAGGATGAGGTGTGTTTCTTTCTTTATTCTTTTGAGGATAAAGAAAGTTCCATTTTTATTAGGCCCTATAATTCCAAAATATATACTATTTTTAAACAATAGATGACCATCGTTCTGTATATTATTAGTGCATTGATAATCTCAAACGACAACCCACCTTGGTTTAGTAGAGAGTTTATTATTGGCCCTATAGCACACTTCATATAAGAATTAAAAATAAATGGTTTCTTTCATTTCAGCTCTTTGGCTGGCTTTTTTGCAGAGTTCGTTTTGAGAATGTTATCTTTGGCATCCTAACAGTGATGTCAATACAAGGTTGTGCAAACCTCCATAATCAATGGAGCATAATAGGAGAATTTAATAATTTGCCTCAGGAGGAACTGATACAATGGATCAAATATAATACTAGACCAGGTATGTAGCTCTTTAGTTCTATGTAAAGCTAGTATACAGACATGTAGCAACAGACACACAGAGTCATTAATTCACTCACAGATTTTAAGCATGCTAATTGTAGTGTCCACCAGTCAAACCTTTTCGGAAAACAATTTTGTGCCCTCTTTAGATACCTCCTAGATAACTGCCAAGAATTTTAATTAACATGAGGAATTAATGATTGTTCATAGATATGTACTATAATGCTTAGATCATTATCATATTTTAACCCTAACAATGACAAGTAAATCTTCAATATCAAAATTTCACACCCTGTGAACAGATATTGGAGAAGATACTTTTGACTGTGGGGAGGTCAACAGTGCCCTTTATATCACTTCAGTCAGTGCTGACTCTCTCTTCCAACCCTGTAAAACCATTTGCGCACAGAAGAGTTAAAATCTCATATACTCCATTTTCTTCACTAAATAACTTCAAAAAGACTCCAAAATATTTTTAGCTTTTTTCCCTGTCTTTATAGGAAAAAATCACCTCAAAATCACCTCAAGCAGACATATTTCAATTTTTAAAAAACCTTTCCAGAGAATAAGTGTATTCTGTAGTATTTTCTATAAGTAATCCATAATCTTGTCCAAGACTATTTCATATTTATCTCACCAACAAGAATTAAGACTTTGCAGAGTATTTCTGCCCCTCTCTCTGCCATAGGTGGTTTCTCTTCAGTGATTTCAGCTGTTGCTGGACAGACTCCCCTACTTTTTTTCTGATAACTGTATCCCTGGGCTTTGGGATCCTCTAACTCACATTTTCTCAGCCTTGGCACTATTGACATTAGGGACTGGCCTCTGCATTGAAGAATATTTTGCAGCATACCCACAAGTTGCCTACAATACCTCTCTCCCCACAGTGTGCCAATCAAAAATGTCTCCAGAAATATATATCCCTAGAAAATAAAATCACATCTGGTTGAGAACCACTGCTCTAGCCTAAGAACTTTCCATCATTAATTATTGAATCTTGTGATAATAAATATACATTTCTACATTGATTGACTTATATATCTTCAAATTTAAGTCATACATAAAGATACTCTCTTGAAGTTACATTTAGAATATTTAGTTAGATTTGCAAGTAAACATTCAGCTATTTACAGTAGATCTGAATAACATGCCTTGTTAGTGATTTTATTATATTGATTAAAAATGTTAACCTTCAAAATTATTTAATAATTTATTATATAGAATTGTCAGGAGGTAAGTAAACATTTTTGTCTTCCAAGAAACTACAGTTCACAGTTTCACCTTAAAATATATAGCATGAGACTTGCCTTTTGTAACAGTCTCTCAGTTCTTGGCATTTTATTTATTTATTTTATTTTATTATTTTTTTTAAAGATTTTATTTATTTATTTGACAGAGAGAGATCACAAGTAGGCAGAGAGGCAGGCAGAGAGAGAGGAGGAAGCAGGCTTCCTGCCGAGCAGAGAGCCCGATGTGGGGCTCGATCCCAGGACCCTGGGATCATGACCTGAGCCGAAGGCAGAGGCTTTAATCCACTGAGCCACCCAGGCGCCCCAGTTCTTGGCATTTTAAATTATCGGAACAAGTATAAAGTTTTGTAATTCTTTCTGGTCCTATGTGTTTTTGTAGCGTTGTCTTTTACATTGAGCTTGAACATGGCAGGAAGTTGTAGTAAAGTGCCTGAGTGTGGGCTCTGGTTCCACCTAGGTGTATAGACTTGACAAGTCAATTATCTTTGTTGGTTCTCAGTTTTCTAATTTACAAAATAAGAATAACATAGAACCCACTTCATAAATTTCTACAAATTAAGTTGTTTAATCCTAGTAAACTTATTTAACACAGTTACTGGCACAGAGATAACAAAGTCGGCTATTATTATAGCAGACAATATTGAGCAAAGAAAAAGAATAATGCCAATAGTTATTATTTAAATGTATTTCATCTTTCTTAATTTGAGTTCAAATATTATAGATAAGTACTGATCTTTGGTGTTCTTTAAAATATGTCATTAGCGAAAATGTCCTTGTTTTTCAGATGCTGTTTTTGCAGGTGCCATGCCTACAATGGCCAGTGTCAAGCTGTCTACCCTGCACCCCATTGTGAATCACCCACATTACGAGGATGCAGACTTGAGGTTGGCAACTGATTGAATGTTTTAACCAGACATGCTAATTTTTCTCAAAATGAAAATATCATGTATTTATGACTAACCTGTATGTTATTCTATTTGTTCTAGTAGAACTGCTAAGTAATACTACTAGGAGATGGTATGGTTCTAACCCATGGCCATAGTTTGCCAGCCCCTGCTCTGAACCCCACAAGCTCCTCTGCCTGATTTAAGAAACCATTCTCTATTTTACCAATGGCCTACAACTAACCTTTTCTAATAGAAAAGTACATGAAATTTGCTGTATTACATGATTTTATGAAAATTTAGGGTGTTTTTGGTTAGCTAGTTATGAAACTCTCAATTATTTTAATCTTTTAGTCATTGTCAACGTAATCTTTTCCTGTTAATGCATCTTTGGCCTATTTTTAGAGTTAACATTTTAAATCATTTAAAGTTTGATGTCTGGTTTTGGACATTGTACATCCTGTATGCTTGAAATTTTGAGAAATGTCCAATGCTGGGTGGGCAGATCGGTAACTGGGTGATGGACATTAAGGAAGGCACATGATGTACTGAGCACTTGGTGTTATATGCAACAGACGAATAACTGAAAGCTACATCTGAAACTGATGATACACTCTATGTTAACTCATTGAACTTCAGTAAGTTAAAAAAGAAATATCCAATGCATAAATGGTAATTATTCAGGATTTCATAAAAACTCCTCTATTTGGGGGCCAAATTATCTGTTGTACCATATTTTGGTGACTGATCCTGTTTGTCAAGCTTCCTCACTGCTACACTAGATGCCCTCTGTCTAAATGTATGATTTGCTACATTTCAACTTCAATTCATATGCTTTGCAGATAATTTCAGTAGGTGAAATTATCTACTAAAATCTGTTTTCTGTTGACCTCTATTCGAATGTGTTCTGTGAGCAGATTAATTACTTTATGCATATGCAAAGCAAATTTATATCCTGAATTCTGTAGTCTCTAAGTCACTTGATGTTTTTTCTGGTAAAAACTAACAAGCAGTACCTACAAAATTCAAACCACTGTAAGTTTTAGCATATGCAAAATAAAAGCAGGAAAGTGGAAACTGCTATCCAAAAATAATCTGTGCTGTTCCCCAAACAGTTCATGCTGCTTGAGGTCATATATATGAGTGTTCCACCCAGTGAGTGTTGAGATTTTCATTTACTAGCAAAATTGTTTCAGTCCATTCTATTCTAACTTATTAAAAAATATTTAATTGTGTTTTGAATGTAAAGGGCTCGGACAAAAATAGTTTATTCCACATATAGTCGAAAATCTGCAAAAGAAGTGAGAGATAAATTGTTGGAGTTACATGTGAATTATTACATTTTAGAAGAGGCATGGTGTGTTGTGAGAACTAAGTGAGTATGAGCCCTACGTTGTATGGTATGGAATATCTTTAAGCAACAACCGTTTTACCTTATTACAGTAGTTGTGATTCTTTAAGATGGGATGGGAAGGGAGACAAACTTACGTAAAAGACTCTTAATCTCAGGAAACAAACTGAGGGTTGCTGGAGAGGTGGCTGAATGATGAACAATGGGGAGGTTATGTGCTATGGTGAGTGCTGTGAATTGTGTAAGACTGATGATTCACAGACACCTGTACCCCTGAAACAAATAATACATTATATGTTAATTTTAAAAATACTGAAAAAAAGAATTTTTATTCTAAATTAATTCTATTAAAGTACTATCCTGGTATTTTATTTAAAATTGTTTCATGTAGGAAAATAAATATCATTTCAGTAGAATCTAATTTCAAGAAACTATAGTGTATCTTAGCTTCCTGATTTTTTAATTTTAACATCTTAAGTGTTGCTTTCCTTCATAGTTTTTCACATTTTTATGATAGTTTTTATTAGAATTATGAAATACATATTTGAGTTTACAGTAGTGTGAGACATTAGCATTCTTTTACTACAACTGGATAACATTGAATTTATAAGACCTATAAGAAAAGTTTTCGATAACTCAAGAAGATATAGTAAGTAAAACATTCCTAAGTATAATTTTTAACTTCTGAATTTACAATTTCTAAAAATCACAAAATTCTAAAATGGTTAATGGATATCTTGAGGCCTTTCTTTTAGATTCCTTGACTTAAGAGGTCCTTAGTTGTATTAAGTCTAACATTAAGAATTTTCATTTCTCATATGGATAATTGGGCATTAGACTATAAAACATTTTGGAAAAGAAGTTCATAAGTTTTAGTGGCTAATTTTAATACCTAATATATCTAAGAAGAAATGACATCGTGTAAAAGAAGAAGCTAGAACATCATAATGTTGATGCATGTGCACATCACATTAATTTAAAATTTAATAAGACAACATAGACTTCAAAACAAGGCATATTACCACAAAAAGATGGACATTTTATAATGAAAAAAGGATTAACTCATCAAAAATTCTAAAATGTGTATATCTAAACAGAACTTCAGAGCTCTATTTTAATTAAAATTAAATTTAAAATGTATAGAATATAAATAAGCAAATTTTCAATGATAGTTGGAAATGTTAACTTTCCTTTCATTGCTGAGAGAATTAGATAAAAAGAGTGTAAGGATTAAAGATAGAAACATCAAACAGTATCAAATAATCTGACCTAATTACTTTTATAGAACAGTATAGGAAAATACATTCTGCAGAATACACATTCTTTTAAAGGGCACATGGAGTTTTCACCAAGGGAAAACATATGCTGGGCCACAAAAATGGCTTCAGTATGTTTAAAAGATTTGAAATCATAGAGAATTAAATTAAAAATTAATAATTAGAAATCTACTAAATAAGATATTTGCAAATGACAGTACAGACAAAAGGTTGATATCCAGGATCTATAAAGAACTCCTCAAACTCAACACACACAAAACAGACAATCATATCAAAAAATGGGCAGAAGATATGATCAGACACTTCTCCAATGAAGACATACAAATGGCTATCAGACACATGAAAAAATGTTCATCATCACTAGCCATCAGGGAGATTCAAATTAAAACCACATTGAGATACCACCTTACACCAGTTAGAATGGCCAAAATTAGCAAGACAGGAAACAACATGTGTTGGAGAGGATGTGGAGAAAGGGGAAGCCTCTTACACTGTTGGTGGGAATGCAAGTTGGTGCAGCCTCTTTGGAAAACAGTGTGGAGATTCCTCAAGAAATTAAAAATAGAGCTTTAATTGACCCTGCAATGGCACTACTGGGTATTTACCCCAAAGATACAGATGTAGTGAAAAGAAGGGCCATCTGTACCCCAATGTTTATAGCAGCAATGGCCACGGTCGCCAAACTGTGGAAAGAACCAAGATGCCCTTCAACGGATGAATGGATAAGGAAGATGTGGTCCATATACACTATGGAGTATTGTGCCTCCATCAGAAAGGATGAATACCCAACTTTTGTAGCAACATGGACGGGACTGGAAGAGATTATGCTGAGTGAAATAAGTCAAGCAGAGAGAGTCAATTATCATATGATTTCACTTATTTGTGGAGCATAACGAATAGCATGGAGGACAAGGGGAGATGGAGAGGAGAAGGCAGTTGAGGGAAATTGGAAGGGGAGGTGAACCATGAGAGACTATGGACTCTGAAAAACAATCTGAGGGTTTTGAAGGGGCGGGGGGTGGGAGGTTGGGGGAACCAGGTGGTGGGTATTGGAGAGGGCACGGATTGCATGGAGCACTGGGTGTGGTGCAGAAACAATGAATACTGTTATGCTGAAAAGAAATTTATTAAAAAAAAAAAAAAAAAAAGAAGTAGCGGGAACCTAAAAAAACTGAGTGGAGATAGCTGTTGCACAAGATAGGAGATCCAGACAAGTTAACTGTCTACCAGAACAGAAACAAAAAACATCATCAGAAAAACAAAACAGATTCCAGACTCACTGCCAGTTGTTTTCTCTAGTGTTCACTTTCCAACCCAAAATTACCAGACCTGTGAAAAAAATTTTTTTTTTTATATTTGGAAATCCATTTTTTTAAAAAGATTTTTCAATACTCCAGAAAAAAGTTAGTAGAATCTGATTCAAATAGGTTGAGATGTTGGACTGAGCAGGGAAACACTGCAAAGCTGCTGTTATGATTATATTCAAGGAATTAAGGAAAACATGTTCAAAAAATTGAAGACATGATATCAGTAAGGGACAAGATATGATTCTCAACAGTGAACACCCTCCCCAGAAAAATGGAAACTCCAGAATTGAAAATTATAATAAATGAATGACAGTTCTTTAAAAGTTCTCAAGAGATTTGATGTAACAACAGAAAAAAGATCAATGACTTGAGGGTAAGTAAAGAAAAAGTACAATCCAGGGGCGCCTGGGTGGCTCAGTGGGTTAAGCCTCTGCCTTTGGCTCAGGTCATGATCTCAGGGTCCTGGGATCGAGCCCTACATCGGGCTCTCTGCTCAGCAGGGAGCCTGTTTCCTCCTCTCTCTTTCTGCCTGCTTGTGATCTCTCTCTCTCTGTCAAATGAATAAATAAAATCTTAAAAAAAAAAAGTACACTCCAAAGAACAGGAATCAAAAAGATTGAAGAAGAATAGCAAAAGCCACAGAGACCTGTGTGTTATTAAATAGTTCAACATGTGGGTAATGTAATACCAGAAAGAAGAAAGAAAAGAAAAATGGGAGGAAAAAAAATACCTGAAGAAACCTTGGCCAAAAATTTTTTGTTTGTTGAAAGCCATTAACTTAAAGATCCAATTAAGGTTAAACAATGCAGCTAGGATAAACCCAAGGAAATCTACATCATGGAATATCATAGTCAAACTGGTGAAAAACAAGGAGAAAAGAGAAAATCTTGAAGCAAGAGAAGAATGATACGATAAACATCTAGTTCTTTTCATAAGTAGAAGTCAACTGCCATTGAAATGATAATTCAAAATTCAGAAATACAGGATATACTAAAATGTGCTGGAAATGTTAAAAATGTGGATAAATATTAATCACTATATGTATATATATATATATATATAAAATCCTTTGAAAATCTTTTAAAACCTTATGACTAGTTAAAGCAAAGATAATACCATTATATTTTTGAGTTTATAATGTAAGTCATATATATATGACAGCAATAGCACAAGCAAGGGGAGTAAACAAAAATAAAATGTATGATTTTCTGGAAATAATCCAAGTTTAATGTTAAGTAACTGTGATACATTGAAGATGCCTGTTTCAATATCTAGAGCAACCACACACACACACACACACACACACACACAGAGGCAAAAAAATGCATAAGCCAATGAATGAAATGGATGATATAGTAAAACTTTTTGCTTGACATAAAAGAAAGAGAAACAGACATTAAAAAAAAAAGATGAAACAAATAGAAAACAAGGAAAAAAAAGCCTAAATCAAACAATATCAGTAATCACAAATATGAATGGGGACAAAACACTCTAATCAAAAGACAAAGTTTAGTAGACTGAATACAAAAGCAAAACCCAGCTATGTGTCCCCTTGAAGACATGCATTTTAAATACAGATACATGTATCGATGCAAGGAAAAGGAATGGAATTGTTTTGTGAATAACATATGAAAGCTGCAGTGAATATAAATATCTGGAATATTCTAGAGAAGGCAAAGCTATATTGCAGAAAGGAGATCAGTGTTTTCCTGGCTAAGCTGGAGCTAGGGGACCCACTGCAGAAGGGTTCAAGGGAAATTGTTTCAGTGCTAGGAATTTTCTATATTATGATTATGGAAGTGCTCACACACCTATACACAGTTGTCCATATTTATCAAACTTTACTCATAAATGGGTGTATTTTATTGTACATAAATATTTCTTCAATATAGCTGTTAAAAAATAATAGCCTGTTTGGCCTGATTTCTTCCCTTTACTGCCTGCTTCTCATGCAGGGTTATTCCCTAGTGAGAACTAGTAACCCAGTCAGTCCAATTATAAAGCCACCCAAAATAGGAAAGGGTAGAGAAGAACAAATCTAGCCAACAAGAGCTTTCCTTCATTACCTTGGACTATATGTTTTCATGTTGACCTAACTCAGATGAAACTCAAAAATGGGAAATTCATCAGGAATTAGATTAGCTTTCCTTTAATCTGTCTCCTACTACTCATGAGCCTTATGTTTGGATGGTGATACGACCTAGAACAAATATTTATATTTATTTCATTTTGAAAATTAAATTTTAAATATGTAAATATGAATGTATATTGGAGCTTTACTGTTAAGTTTAATAATATGCTTGTTATTTGGTTAAGTGGAACATGAAAATACAACATATTTAATTTCATTTTTATCCTTAAAAGTTGAACTTACATTTTTTGAAATGATGCTTTAAAATCTTTATTAAATAAATTAGTCTCAGGGTGCCTGGGTGGCCCAGTCAGTTAAGCATCAGCCTTCGGCTCAGTTCATGATCCCTGTCCTGGGATGGAGCCCTGTGTCAAGCTCCCTGCTGAGCTTCTCCCTTTCCTCCCCACTCATGCTCTCTCTCCATATCTCTGTCTCTCTCTCAAATAAATAAAATCTTTTAAAAGAGAGTCTCCAAAAATCTTAGAGCTACTTTATAATTTATATATTTTCCTTGCATATGACTACATTTTTAATATGGATATATATGTGCCTTTTTTTTTTTTTAGGCCTGGTTGCAGTATGCTGGAAATTTGGGATGTGGAAGACCCTTCCAATACAGCTAATCCTCCCTTATGTAGTGTCTTGCTCAAGGATGGGAGGCCTTACTTCACCACAGTATTTCAGAATAGTATGTACAGAGTATTAAAGGTTAACTGAGAACAAAACCCACCACACTGTGGTGAAAATAAGTGTGTAGAAAACTTTGCCTTATTTGCATTAATTAAAATCACAAGCTTTAATAAGGGGTCCTTAAAAAGAAGATATTAAAAATGATCTCAGGTTATTTTGATTACCAAAAGGTAAATTATTTCATTGGTTTCCATTGAATGTCAGCCTTTTTAAGCTTGTTATTTAAATGATTAAATCATTTCATACTGCATAAACAAATGTCTATCCTAGAAGTTGTAAAGAAAAAAAGAACAATGACATTTAATAATTTAAAGGTAAATGTTAGTCCTTTTGTACCCAACTAGATGCTTCAGATTTTCTCCAGTACCAGCGTGCACTAGCTCAGACTCTTGAAACCACTTACAATAGATTAATGCAGTTTCTGAAATGACACTTCCTTAAAATCCTGATACTAATCACAACTTCTTTACCTCTGTGAGGAAATTTGTGTGTAACCACGTGTCTATTAAGGTTGTTTTTGCTTTTATTAACCCTCGGGAAAGACCTCTTACTAGCTTTTAATAGTTTTTTATTATTTCAAGTTAACTATTTTTAAAAACAACTTATTTAGTAACATTTTAAATGTCTTGAAATGTATTTACCCAACCAAATAAGTATTTTCTATTGATTAGTTCCCAGCTGAGGTTCAACAGGTTATTAATCTGTCTTTATAATCCAGTGAATTTTCTTTTAACATTCAAGTAAAATAAAAACTGCTATGGTACAAGACCAAATTTGGGGGTTAAAACATAAGCAGAAAAGAAAACCCAGCTAAATTTATAATTTTTAAGGTCCTAGATCCTGAATGAAGCAAAGGCATTTTTCATCTCCACAGCCCTGTAATTCAGTGGACATAGTCTTTCTGATCACCATCTTTGTAATAACATATTTCTAAATCCTCATATTTCTAAATCCTCATTTATTTTTGGTTTTGGATAAGGAAATTGATGTTTTATATATCTCCTCCTCCAATATGAAACCTGTGCAACAGTAATGCTTTGAGAGTGGGAAATAATTATCTGGAAGATACTGCCGAATGCAAAGATAAACACTCGTTCTCTGCTGGAGAGACAGTAAATATGCCATATCTGTAGTATTTTAATATCTGCTTTAAATTAGTCATCTTGGAGTTTTTGTAATTCCCTTATGTTCTTGGCCCTCTGCATTTGGACTAACAAAATTACTTTGTTCTATAGGTTAGTTCACGTATGGGAGTTAGGAGATTATATTTAAGAAAACTGATAAAATTATTTTTCAACTTTTGTAACTGTAAAATATTTTAATACAGGATACAAAACATCTAAGAAAGCATGCCCCATTTTATCAGTATTTTCAAATAACTTATTTGGGCCTAAGTATGGGGCAAAGAAGGAAAGGAGACTTAACATCTAATATTCATAAAAATAAAATACATTTTGGATGATATTTTCATAGGAAATATTTTAAAGAAGTTGGTAGATTTTTTTAAAAGAAGAGCTGTATTAGCTAATAAAATACAAAAGTATACTTATGTGGATTGACATAGGAAAACCAATAAAATTATTTTCAACTTTTATAGTCATAAAATATTTTAAACACAGGATGCAGAGCAAGCTAAGAAAGCATGCCACATTTTACTTATTTTAGCATTTTCAAATAATTTGTTTTGGTGTGTGGGGCAACAAAGGAAAAAAATATAAAACCTAATATTCACATAAAATTAACACATCTTTGATGGTGTTGTCATAAAAAGTTTTAAAAAGTTGTAATTCAACAACAGAAAGGGAAGAATAGTATTAACTAGTTAAATGTTCCATACAGATTAAAATGTACTACTATGGATTGTGTTACTTTCATGTACTATGTATATTTGAAAATTAAAAAAGCACCTGAAGATCCTCTGTGTGTTTTCTGTCTTTTCTCATCGTTTACCAAGCATACATTTTGACATTGAAATAATTCCGATATGAAGGTAGAAATCACAGGTCCCTGAATTTATCAACCGTGTTTACACAGGCAGTGATCTTTCTTAGCCATTTAAAAACAATGCTGCGTCATCTCTCACAGAAGGCAGTGTACTGTGATGGAAATAGTGTGAGCTTTGTAACTAGATGAGTCTAATTGTAAATCCTGGCACTTCTATTTACCAGGTGTATTACCTACCATCCATTTGAACAATATTTATTGAGTACTTACTGTATGCCAGGCACTGTGCTAATTCAGCTCGGTCATGTTACAGGAATGAGCTTCAGTCTCTTCACCTGGAAATTAGAACTCACACTACCTATTTGACAGTGTCATGATGAGGATTAGTAAGGCAGTGGGTTAAAGTGTTTGGCACAGGTAGCTAAGTCACTCAACAAATGTTCGTTCCATACAGTCGTTCTCCCTGCGTTCTAAAGAACCAGCTTAGTAGTATCAAGTTATATACTAGGTTATTTCATCTCAGAATTTCAAACAGTTCTACTTTTATTCTGTGTCAATAAATAGGACTACTGGGCTACAGCTTGCTTTTGTACAAATAAGGCTATTGGCTTCTTTCCTGTACATATTGTTTATTTTTTTGAAATGTGAAGACTGTGCGTGAACACTGCGGGTTGGGTGATGGTAGATTTTCCTCAGTGCAGGGCAGTGTCTTCCTTCGTTTCCTATGCTCCTATTTATGGGCACCTATTTGAAACTGGCTAGAAGTGAGTTGCACACAAGCTACAACAACCCCCCCCCCATTTTCTGCTTGTCAGAACCTGAGGTACAGCTGCAGTGAACAATATGTGTCTTCTACTCTTTTGCTGCTGATAGACACCACATCAAAAAACACTGAGTACTTTTCATGTAAATTTTAACTTTGTTTAAAAAATTATATTTGAGAGAGAGAGAGCGAACAGGAGTGGGGGGAGGGAGAGGGAGAAGCAGACTCCCGACTAGGCAGAGAGCCCGACACGGGGCTTGATCCAAGGACTCTGAGATCATGACCTGAGCTGAAGGCAGACATTTAATGGACTGAGCCACCCAGGCACCTCTCATGTCGATTTTAATAATAAAACTATATTTCATTTGATAAGTGTCTATTATACAAGAAATACAAACTCATGGAATTTTTGTTTTCAAAAACAATTTGAAAGTAGGATAAATATTCAACAAGCACAATTACTCTCTGTTTTCTTCCAACTGGTAGGCATATTTTGCTTGTTTTCTTTTAACATGATTTAAACCGCTTCAGGTTTTGTTCTTTACACAGAGAGCAGATGTGAAAAAGTTTTACAGAGACTATTTTAATGGCTATCTAATATCCCATCAGGTGTGTGCTGGCAGGGGGGACCCTACTGAGTGATACCCATACTGCATGTATGTGTATGTAGAACAGCACATTTTACAATGGATATCTTAGTGCAGTAAGATTTTTAAATTTTTAGATAATTTCCTTAGGATTGTTTCCATAAAGTTAAATTTCATTTAAAAATATGGATACCCTTAAAGCCTACAATGCAGTTTACCTCAAATTACCTTTGCAAAAGGATTATACACACCACCCGAAGTCCATGTATGACAATGCTCATTTTACAACACCCTCATTAACATTGGTCAGGCTTATTAAAATTATTTCTTGCTAATTTGTGACACTCAAGAGTTATTCATTAATTTACATTTGTTCCATGGGTTGTGAGGTTGGGTACCTATTCATGTCTGTTAAATGACTGCATTTCCTTTTGTGTATTGCCTCTTTGCATTCATCTGCATTTATATGTGTCTAGCCCAGCACAGAGATTGTCTGTGTTACAGACACTGATTTTTAGTGAGTCTGTCTTGTCATTGTTCAGTAATGTTGTTGAAGTTGCCATGTGAGTTAGGACATTCTTACTACTCTGTAGGCTGGAGATTTTACTTCAGCTGTCTAAAGTAGTTTATAATTTGTACCATATTCAATATGTCATATTTAATATTAAATACCAAGTCTCAAAGTCTCAGTGCCTTACCCGTTTATTTTATTTATTTTTTAAGATTTTATTTATTTGACAAAGACACTGCAAGATAGGGAACACAGCAGGGGGAATGGGAGAGGGAGAAACAGGCCTCCCGCTGAGCAGGGAGCCTGATGGGGGCTCGATCCCAGGACCCTGGAATCATGACCTGAGCCAAAGGCAGATGCTTAATGACTGAGCCACCCAGGCGTCCCACCTCACCTGTTTAAATAGATTCAGTGATCGTAATTCACGGCCAGATACTGTCAACTTTTTAAGTTATGTATGAAATTTCTGAAACCATTATTGCTCTAAACTGGGTTGCTTTTTATAGCACATAGAAAGCAGGATTAGCAAATTTTTAACAGTTTTGGCCTCATGTGAACTAGTGGAGTTTCATGTCCAATAAAAACTCCCTATATTCTTAATCTTTAGAAAGTATATTCTCTGTAGGTCTGTTCATATTCTTTGATAAATCCATTGATTCTCCTCGAAAGAGGGAAGGTTAGAGATAAGGGGAAGAAAAATCTCTTTTTGAAAATTCTTTTTTAACCATGAGAAGCAAAAGGAAAATTTGAAAAGAATAGGGACGTATATAACTTAATGCATAAAAATAAAATTTAGATGGGTCAAGAACTTAGAACTTCTAAAACTTAACTTTTAGAAGGAAATGGGGAAATGAAATTTAAAACCACATGACAAAATACGCAAGTCTGATAGTAATTGGTGAGAACAGGGAGCAACAGGAACTCATGAAACTGTAGTAGGAGGACAAATTGATACAGCTCTCTTGGAAAATAATTTGTTATTACCTAATAAATTTTAAAAATATGCAGTCCCTGCAACCTACAATTTTACCCTAAAGAAATGCTTGTGCAAATATGCAAGGGAAAACAGTTACAGGAATAGTTATGGAAACTGGGTGCCTGGGTGGCTCAGTAAGGTAAGTGTTAAACTCTTGATTTTGGCTCAAGTCATGATCTTGGGGTCATGGGATCAGGCTCTGCCTAGGGCTCCACGCTCAGCACGAAGTCTGCTTGTCCCTCTCTTTCTGCTCCTCCCAACTGTTCATGCTCCTTCTCTCCTTCT